GTATTATACATGGGTTATTGATCATTGGATTTTTTGCTTCTTAATCTAAAAAAATGATTGTATTATACTCGAGATCGTATTATACATGAATAAATATGGTATACTGATTTTAAACTAAAACTAAGAGAATTCATTTTGTTGTAATTTTATGTACTTAGCAAATATGTACTTTAAGTTTATATTACCTATACTTGGTTTATACTATACAAAAAGTGTACTTATTAAACAAAAGAACACCTGGGGAAATATACTTTACTATACTTAACATGTAGTTGAGGTATACTTCTTTTTGGTAAGGTAAAATTAAACATTTGGCTATTATATTCTAAATTAGTGTTCAGTGATGATTGCCTGCTGCAATTTATTGCAATTCTTTGCAAATTTAATACTGTGATAAAATGTTTACTTGCATTTGTATATATTCAAGAYGCAAAGACATTCACACTGTCAAAACTATATATAAATATAAAAAGGTGAAACTCATTGTTACCGAGTTTACAGCGTTTGTTCTACTTAAGTAAACAAAARCTGACCTCTTCAGCTGTTAGTGACAAAGAAATAAACTAAGATCATCTTATGATTAGAAAGGAAAGTTATAAATGCTTTTATCTTGTAAATGACATTATGTACAATCTCATGCAATAATGCAACATCTGTTAGCACTCATTTMTTAACGTTTATTAAACCAGGCAAATCCCATTGAGATTACAGATCTCTTTTGCAAAAGAGGTCTGGGCCTTCCTTTGCAAAAGCCTCCCTGGTTTTAAGTAGAGGATGACTCACGGCTACTACCACAACACATTTTAGCACAATAGCTAAAAAAGGACTAATAGTCATTTATGTGCTGGGTAATGATTACTGCTGGTGGCCAATTTGAATTATGTTAACGCCATAGCTGAATCAGCTGTAGATGTACCAGTACATATAATTACTATGTGATGTTTTTTAAAGATATTTTGCTAAAAAAACAAACATGGTTGACACGAAAACTTGAGGCAAAAATACTGCACAATGTGCTATGAATATGTGTTGGAGGTGATGCTTATCTAATACCACACCAAATTTACACATATACACATTTTTGTGCTTGCTAACGTTAATTTGCTGCGGCCATCTTGAATCGTCTGAGAGTTTCAATAAAAATCAACTGGTTCACGAGATATTTTTCTAACGCTGCAGTCAAACAACGCACACATCTACAAAAACATTATTGCCTTTCACCTTTGGCAGTATTTACAGTACAAGACGACTGATAATTGTGAAGTCTTGAGCAGCTTTAACTCATGATACACACAAAGACTGAAGTGAGTTCTGTGGCATCAGAACCAAGATTCATAACTCCAATTCTTCTAAGTCTTTTGTAGCAGGTTAGAGACCATGGATCTGTTTGGGTATGTTGCTGCAGAGAATCCTGAAAACAAGTCAGTGTGTTTCTTGTCAAACACCTAATGAGTCATTTTCAAGAGCCAGCTAATCACTGCACACCTAATGTCCCAGGCTTAGCGTATTTACTGTTACAAACTGATCTTTATTGCATTTATCACTCCGTAGGGTCGTGTGGTTTGTGACAGTAAAGACTTCACAAAATGATATTGTATAAAAGGTAAAAGCGTGGACAATATTTTGAATTATTAAATTTTTAATGGGTCTCATCATAGACTGATGAAAATGATTCTATCCAAACGGCTGCTTTAGACCTCTTCATCAGAGTTGTTCAAGCAAGAAGTCAATAAAACACTGTAATTAGGCTTGTTCTTTTAAAATCTGAGGCTGTCTAATTGACTGTGTACTCAAGCAGAACAGCAAAATTCCCTCCAGCAAGTTTAATAGCGTTGACAAGAAGCAAGCTTTAAGTTCAGAAATGCTAAATGATCTATTCTTATAAAAAAAAAGTTGTCTTTGAGATTTCAGGCCTTTCCGTGAACAGTTCAATTTATTTTCCTCAAGTGTCTCTTTGAAACTGCTGATCAGAGGCTCATCAGGCGTTTTATAATAATATCTTTATAAAAGCTCGCAGCACTCGGCTGTGGAGGGCTCGCAGGCGAGGCGCTGAGCATGACGTGGAGCCGCACATCAAACAGAGCTCGGTCAAAAAGCAAAGTACTCAATATCTCATAGGAGTGAATTTAATGGCCACTGGTTGCTCTGGGCTCTTGACCCTTTCGGAGAGAGTGTTAGTCACTCTCCAGTGCTTTCCAATTGAAACACAGCCAGACTGGTGGTAGATGAGAGTTCAACTGTCTACTCAAAGCCTGGATGACAGCAGCACCAGCTGAYCAGGACTCTCAGTGATGTTCTAGTGATGGGGAGTGAAACTGGATGCTGGGAGTTTAACTTTTTAGATTATTGTTTTCAAGCATGAACTTTCACAACGGTCTGCATATTTTTTTGTAGTAAAAACACCTAAAACTGTATGACTTTACAATAAAAAGGGACCATTTATTTAGGATTTATTATTGCCTAATCATGGTTTGTAAATGATTTATAAAGCATTACTAATCATTTAACAATGTGAAGCAGGTTTACYATTTGGCAAGCTCAAGCACAATACCTTTCTTTATAATTTAGATGTTAAAGATCAAATATTTGTCATTAAGTAACACATACACTTGAAGATACAAAGCTTGTTTTGGAACAAATTTGGTATAACAAAAAAAATGAAATCTATTTGAATGAGAAGCACACTTGATCTTGCCAAATAGTGAGACTGCTTTAATTTATATTTAAACAGTTTTAGAAATAACTGTTATAATCTTTATCTATACTGGTTTAAGTCAGCTGTATGTTTACTTTTTCCTTGGGTTTTATCTAAATCCCTGGTTTGCAACTGAAAAACAAATCTAACTTATTATAGAACAAACTTGAATCTTGTTTGCGAGTCAAAACGAACATTTTWAAGCTCAGTTTGCAAACAAAGGTGTGTTGAAAAAAATCACAACTGCTCAGTTCACTGACTGTCCTATGCTGCCACCTAGTGTCCACTTAATGTACAACTGCGGTTTWTGTGTTTTAAAGTGGCCATACGCTTTCAAATATTTCTTTTTCATATTTAGTTGGGGTCTATATAAAGTGGAATCGCAATGTAATTCATTTGGTCTGAATTCTGTTTAATCTTTTTACCCCTTTTCTGAGGCGTGTCTCAGATCAACTCTGTCTCTTTAAATCCAAAGGCGCTTCAAACCCCGCCCCCTTCCAGCTTCCAGATCTATCCATTCTAGCTTGAAAGAGGGGTTATGGATACCTAGCCACACAGAAACTTTTTTAAATAATACAAATGAATAAAAAGACATAAAACAAAAGACTGGTCCAGCCAGTCTCAAATCTGAGCCAGAGGAGAATGAAGACAAAAATGGTTAGTAATTCTATATACACTCCCGTCCAGAACCCGTTCGGAAGACCTATACAATTTTTTTTTCCTTTTGATTTTTTACCTGGATTACTGAGATGCATCAGGACATCCATATACACTATTTGGCAGTTCCTCTGCAAATAATTTGGACATAAAAGTTCAAAAAATGTCATAAAGAAAACTGAACAGATTGAAAAGTGTGATCCCAAAAAGTACAAAAAAAATACCTTTGCAGCACATGGAAATACTGAATTCAGTTTTTCTGCACTCCTAGAGCCTCAAAGTACAAAACAAAAATGTATTTATGGCAACAGCTACAGGTGGATTTTGTATATGTCCCCTTTAAAGCACAGTTTAAATAATTATTCCTAAGTTTAACAGTAATTAAAGTAAAAACAACATACATCTTTACTTGAAGTTTGATACAATTTATTTAGGCAAACAAACTTAGACCAATAAACTGGTAAAATCACATGTGCCAAATGTTAGACTGATTGGTCACAAAACGAGGGGAAAAAAGTTTGACAGCCCCCCCCCCCCCTTTTTTTTTTATAAACATAACTTGTAACAACTGATATTTTTCAGAACACTTAAAAATATTTCACAAAACCTTTGGTGACCCATGTTTAGGTACATATAAATGCATTTCTTTTGCATGTAAAAAGTATGTAAAATGTTTAAATATCATAACAAAAGCTAAATCTACGAAAACAGTTMAGATTATTGCACAGCAGCCAGGTGAAGACAGAGGAGAGTCATCTCCGCTGCAGCCTTCTGTAGTTTTCATGGTTTTCTGCGCCTGAAGCAAAAAGCACACAGATCATAAACTCATGTTTGGCACTGCAGAGGATTTCAGATAGGATAGTAAATGTTTGCCAGCTTACTTTGTGATCCCATGATGCTCATGTCCAGGTGCCATGTTTGACCCCGCCTTCATCTCCAAAGCCACCGAGCACTGCAGCAGAAACATTTTGTTCTTATTATTTAAACTATAAAATATATGACCAGTATGTCAAATAAAACATTTAGCCACTTTCTGTCTTCCTGCAACAAAAGCACTAAAGCAGCTGCAGTTCAACCCTGATCTTTGTGTTAGCACATTCACTTCAGGCTCAGCTACAGTCTGTTTTGCATTTCCTAAATAAAGACATGCATATTAAGATATTCAACTGATTTAAGTGTCTTACCCTTGTCTCCACATCAGTCCAAGAACCATCAGTTTGATCTTTGTTGACCGGAGTTTCTTCAGAGGATTTTCTTTTTCGGCTTCAGAGACAAAATTGACAAATTTTTTGTCATCTACTTATGATCACGATGCTAAACTACTTTGCTCTTTAAAAACAAACACTCATTTACAGCTGGGTTTCTATAAAGGAGGTGTTTTTTCCTCAAATTGGACATTGATTAATAAATTAAAGAAATTAGTACTTTGTTGTTACCCAGCCCACATTCAAATAGGAAACCTTTAATATWGAACAACTTCAAATAGTGTTCAAGATGAAAAATGACACCTAAAGGTTYAAACTGTGTGTACTTACTTTGAGGCCATGGTGAGCTGCTGTTTTACAGTCTCAATGTCAGTGAACTGAACAGCTTGTCCTCCTCCTCTGGTTTTAATCACATCTCCCTGAAAGTCAAGAAACAATAAGGTTACAGCAAATGTTAACTAGTAGCAGAAGAAGCAGAAGAAAAAAAACATTTTTAAATATACGTTTATAGAAACTTCATGTAGACAGCAGTTAGCAGAAATGTATTTGTTATAATACCACATTTTCAATCCATGAATTAGATTGAATACTTTTAAACATCAGACAAAATGTCTCATCGTACAAAAAAAAGTAAAATATTAAATGTCAGTCTACTCGCAATATTTTCAGCAATGAAAATATTCAATAAATTCTCCACCTKTACATCTTTTTAGTATTTTGAACTYGAGTCTTAAATTTTCTACTACTCTTGCAGCTTTGCCTATCAACAATTGTGAGAGATAAATTGTTTAAAGGAGAAAATGCACCACATAATCCAAATTAGAATATTATGAGTAAATAGTGAAGTGTGCTAAAGAATCAAATGAAATCTTGTTCTCTTTACATTTTATAATTTATTAACTTATTTACTCCCCTCTTTTTATTTGCTCATTATTTTAAAATATATATATATATTATTTGTAATCGTACATTAGTGACCAACTTTCTTTTGGTCAATCAAAACAAGGCAAGAGTTCTTGAGAAACTTAGTAAAAATAATACAAATCAAACTAAGTATCCTGCTGTTCACCTTTATAAGTTTGGTTTGTATCTCTCCATCAGATGCGACCTCCTGRTGTGTTAACACGTATTTGTCACACTTTGACAGGGCCTTCTCGTTGGGTGCAGACACCTGGATGGCATTGGGGATGACGGGCTGCAGGACGGTGCCCAGGTCCAGGTTGGATGCCGGCTTGTGGTCCACCCATTTCTCCCCACCAGCAGAACGAGAACGGCGGTGCAGGGCCCGCACTGGGGTCGTTGTCTGCTCAGGTGGAAAGGAACAAACCGCTTGGTGTGAGATGTATAAAAAGTCAGACTTTCACTTGTAGAAACTCTGCTCTGACACTTTAGTTTCATACTGCTGCAAATGGATACAGTAACTCACTGACCCTGTAGTTTCTCTCTACTTGGTCTAGGACAAAATCAAGGGAGGGACAGCAGAATCTACCATAGCACCCTCCTCTCTGGCTGACGGAAGGACCTGCTGGAGACTGGGTTTGCTGGGCCGGTCTAGGGAGCTGAGAAGCCTGCCTATCGTCTGGAGAATGGGTTATATTTCTTTGGGCTGGTCTAGGAGACTGGGAAGCCTGCCTGTTGTCTGGAGAATGAGTGTTGGTTCTCTGGGCTGCAGACTGGGTTCTCTCGGCTGGTCTAGGGGACTGGAAAGCCTGCCTGCTGTCGGGATCTGCCCACTCCTCCGATAAAGAGACAGACGATGACAAAGAAGCATTGCTGCAGGGCGTTGGCCATGTGGATCTTGGGATCATCTCAAACTCTTCAACTCTATGAGCACTGACTGCCTGTGACCCTGGCACTGGACTGATCTGAGGAGACTCAGTGGGGCTCTACGGAGCAAAAGTGGAAACACATTTAGTCATAAGTTCATATACATTCACAAACAAAATGCATTTAGTAGGAGCTGAAACTAAGACACCTGTACAGTTGCATGTATTAAACAACAATAATCTACTTTTACCACATTCTACACTCTTAACATCCTTCCCAAGTCAAAATGAGCATCTTGTTTTTTTTTCCATAAGACTTTGACAAAAATCTGAATAAGGTTGTTGAGCTTTGTCACAGGTATGCTTCCRTTCAGAGCACCTGTTGCATTAAACAGAGTGAGGTGGGTGAGTCTGACACAATCTGCTGTTTTGACAAATTAGATTACATTAATAGAAGACAGCATTTTCTGAACACGTTCTCTCTTGTAATTTAAAAAAAAACTAACAATCTGCAAAGTGTTTTTGCTTCACAGTATCTTAAACAAAAAAACAGACAAACTAGGATTAAACACATTAGCTGCAGAAGCAACTTAAGCAGTCAGGCTGGACATCAGTGTTTGAAAACATTTCCAACTGTGGCTTCCTGGGTTAAAGTTTTTTTTTAACCCAAAATCTTAGAGTCCCCTAAAAAAATAGTATCGTGTCAAAACTTTGTGATAAACAAATATTGTATTGTCATCCAAATAAAATCAATAATATACTGTATTGTGATAAATCTGGTGGTAGTGCAGCATCACAACACTGACTGTAAACATTAACTTCTGTGACTTCMTCAAAACATCACATACTAAACACTGACTCAGCAGGAATTCTAAACTTACAGGAAGAGGTGTGGGTGATGCAGATCTCTTCTTCGGTGGGGGGCGCTCCTCTCTGGAGGGTCGCTGAGGCTGGGATTGATGCGGTGGAGGATCAGGACAGCCAGGAGTCTTGTTCTCTGCCACGATGGCCTTGAGTTGTTTCAACTTTTCATCTTTCACCCAGAGCTTGTTTTGCATCTCCAGCTGCATTGCGTTAACTCGTCTGTCCTGCATGGGAATAATAATGTTTCAGATTATCACTGTGTTGGCAAAAAAATTAAAATATATATACAGACTTTTAAACTGAGGAACATCTTTTTAACTACTGAATAATAAAGACTCACACATTCTTTTTCCCACTTGTGCTGCGTGTCTGAGAGCATGCCGTGCATTCGCTGCTCCATGCGTCTCTTCTCAGACAACTCCCTGTGAAGACGATTCTCTCTGGTTTCCAGCTCCTGCTGCAACGAACGCTTGTCATCCTCATAGATTTTAGTTGTTTTCTGCAACATGTCGATCTAGAACAGCGCAGCAGGAGTTTTTAGAAAACTGAACGCCTCTACAAATCTGAATCTACTGAAGAAGCTAGAATATATTTATCTCCAACCGTTCGCTCTTGCATCTTGGTCTTCTTCTCTAAGCGTTCAATCTCTGCCTTGTTGTTTTGGATGCTTTTGTCTTTCTCCAAAAGTCTGCCATTTTGTTCATTGATCAAATTTTGTTTAGAGATGAGATCCGACTCCAGTTCCTGAAGCTTAGACTTCATAATGTTGGCTAAATTAGGGAAAAATAAAAAATAAGGACAAAAAGGATGAGCCATGGTAAGAAATTTTGAGGCAGGGGAAATAACCAGCTAAGCAGAAAATGTGAGCAGGCACCTGCTTTGTTGTATTCGTCAGTCATCAACTGCCTGATCCTCTGTCTGTTCTGCAGAGCTTCWATCAGACGAGGCAGGGTGACATCATCGTTCGGGTCAGTCAGCTCAGAGGAGGGTAGAGGGGGCAGGCTGCGCCCCAGGTTGCTCGTAAAGGTGGTACCACCATCTAAAGAAAACATGACAAACTCCACATTAGACACTTCTAGAATATTTATTTATTTTTAAAATTGGACCACTCAGCATTTAGAGGTCATCAAAGATTGAAAAATAGGAATCAAGTCCTGCATTACGTGCATAACACATGAGAGCCCCAGAGATATTCAGTGTGCAAAAATTTCTAAATTTTCCAAACCAGGGTAAAAAACAAATTAGATTAAAACATTTAGATAGATTTTTGAAAATATATGGGGGTCTAGGCATTATGATCGAGTCACCTGGTAATACAGACACACAGCCTGAGGAGGACAATGCATTTATTAAAGTGCCTGCTTTAAAGTATAGTATCTTTGGGTTCCATCAGCAGTCACAAGTCGGACAAAAATAAATGTGTAATAGAAGCACTTTAACAATACAAAAATGCATAATTGTGCTGCTTTTACCCATCATTTAATTCCCTTTAAATTTAGATTTTGTAGATTTTTCTGCTGACATAACTCCACAAGCCCCTCTTTCACCCCTTTTCAGAAATGTGTCTCATATCAACTGTAAGTACACAACAAAATTTATTTAAACATCTAAAAAAGTGGATTTTGCATGATACGTCCCTTAGGAGGACCAGTTTTTTGTATTTCTTACCTGTGTCAACTGGGCCACCACGGTCCTGTAACTTGCGAGACAGCTCTTCTTTAAAGGCCTGGTTTCTGTAACGACGGCCTGGAGTAAAGCCACAAATGGGTCTGTCCATGGGACGAGCCACTTCCACCTCCTGAGTCATCTCTGCAAAGCGCATCACCAACTACACAAACAGAGAAATGTCTTACTTGTTAGATAAAAAGATTTTTTTTTTTGCCAAGGACTCCGTGGTCACATCGACGCAACTTACCAGTGTTTCCTCATAATCATCTGCTTTGGGGTTGACACAAACGACCATCCTGACCCTTCCTTCTCCATCAAAGTAGTTTTTAAACAAGTGGGTTACTTTAGAGTCTCTGTAGGGGACCATCTATAACAGAAATTGGACAGTGAGTACACAGTTTGTCTTAACGTAACGTTCAGTCTTAGCTTGGAAACAGACCCTGTTTGTGCCACAAGTTTGGTTTTCTCGGAGTATCTCGATGCACGTCCGCAGATTCAGCAGAGACTGATTAATGTTACCTGCAGAGTCAAATGTTATTAAATAAAATGAAAACAAGGCTGAGAGTAAAATCAGATTCTGTTTGATAACAAACCTGCTTCACGTATACGTGTGCCTTCTGCCCCGGTCCTGCCGGTACGCTCACTTCCTGCCAAGTCCACCAGGCACAACTGACTAACGATAACCTGGTTCTTATCCTGACAAAGCAAGAAGTGTCAAAAACGAATTGTGAAAACTGTACGTCATCTCAGTAGGTATTACAAATGTGGTCCCGGCTAACCTGGAGAATGTTGTCGCCATCGGCATCAAGAGGAGCCTGCGCCAGTTTGATAATGAACACGCTGTGAGAGCGACTCGACTCTCTGTTCAGACGAGTGTTTGCAACCTTCCGCTTCTTCTGGCCTGGAAGAAAAAAAAAACACCTAAGTAATTTATTCTGCTCCGTTTGTCATCAAACAGAACTGATCCTCTCAAATCATCTTTAACCTGCTCAGAGAGAAGATTAAACTGAAGTCATTTCCTGGCCAGAGCTGACCCGGAGACCAGCAATTCCAGGTCAGTCACAGCTAAAATCATCACCGCAGAGCGTTTTGGGGAAAAAAATAAAACTAAATTCACCCCTTCACATTCAAGCATGGATCTCCACAGAAAACTCACCTTTCCAGAACACTTGAAAGGCTTCTTCAGCAGATTTGACTTCAACTTCCATGCAGCCAGACACGTACATGTTGTGATTCTGATCCTCTCTGAGGGTTTTAGACTGAGGCGGTCTACAATAATAACAAATGTTGTTAAGCGTTGAAATGGAATGGTCTTTTTCCCCTCCTCCTCATGCAATTCTAGAAGCACAAGTCAAGCAGTAAATGCAGACGGGACCAGGGAGAATGGGTGCTACTTCATTCCAGACACAAAAACTAACACTGATCAAATACCACACAAAGACACAGACATAAAGGACAGAGAGGTTTGCCATAACAAGAAGGCTAATGCAAGGATTTCTAAGGCAAAAGGAAGGAAATAGGGTGTTGACATTATATGTCAGAATAATCAGAAATCACAAGTTTTGATGATCATGTCAGGTCCTAAACTCCACCATATTATTTGCAATATCTAAATGTTAGAGAAGCATTAATTGTCTGAAATTTACAGTGCATTCCATTTAACTCCTTTTTATTTCTTTGACCAACCTCTAAGTAGTAATTTATCCTACAGATGTTTGTTTCAAGCTTTTGGGAACTTTACATTTTATTACTTTTCTAGATATATAAATATTAATCATCCAAAATCAATTTATTACTTATGTATTTACTGTTATTTAACCAAGTAAATCCCATCTCTTTTTCAAGGATGGCCTGGACCTGAAGGCAACCTTTTTAACTTTTTTTTTTTTTTTGGGGGGGGGGGGGGGGGGACACATGCTATAGTTTAAAAGAATTGATTTTTGTAACATTATACTGTAAAGGTAAGAGCATTTGTGTTTGGTAGATGATTTCTTTGTTGCAACAATGCTTCTTGGCAATAAATCTTATAGCAGGCACCTGACTGGCAGCACCTGGAGATAGTAGAAGCTCACAACAAGTGTCAATAGCAACAGCAAAAGAAACTATTGGGCAATGGCAGAGCAACCCACATACTCAGCTCTACTGCTCATCTCATGAATGCATGTTCCTTACAAATGTGGCACCATTTAAAAAAGAGAAATGAACAGGCTTGCCAATGGTATAAGATGTATTGCCAAGGAATATTGTTACAACAAAGAAATAATCTACCAAACACAAATTTCCTTACTTTTGGTGTTTAGTTTGCACAGTTTTCATTGAGAATAAAAGGTTTATATTTTTTGTTTTGAGTAAGGCATAGAAAATATTTTTGAAATCAGTGTTTCACATGTTAAATACAAAATTAAATCTAACAGATACAATAATTTTGGCATCTGGTAGAGCAGTTCAAATTTGCCATAGGAAACAGTTTATGCATTTTCTAATGACAGCTAATCATATGTGAATAACTATTCATTACATTTGTGGAAATGTCTCCAGCTTTATTGGGGATGTTCCCTTTACTTTCTAAGTGATACATTTGTGTGCATAAGAAACTGGGCAAAACAAAGCAGCTACTCTGATGTCTGAGTCTTAACTAGCCACATACATGAACTCAGTGTTCTGGCGCAGAGGTGTGCCTCCACCATTCCACCTAGTAAAGAGAAAAGAAAACAAATTTGTCTTCTAGCTACTCTGTCATAGACAGATTTGATGCCAAAAAAATAACTACACTTAAATATAAACTGTATACAATGTTAACCATTTTATTTACACATTTAGTTTACATTTAAAAACTCACTTTGGCTTGATTGCATCTTCCAAACCATCCTCCAGGAGATCATAGATGTAGTTATTGTAGATTTCAATGTAGGACACAAAGACACTGTAGCTGCTGTCCTCATCCACAGAGTCTGCTTTATAAGCTTCCTCTGGCTTTAACATGTCACTGATTTCAGGATCAATCTTTTGTCTAAAAACAGGAAAGTTATCAATTTTACATATAAGCTGATTAAAACACTGTAAAGTTTTCTTTGCATTTATGTTTACCTGGAGGAAGGTGTTTTAGGTACAGATAAGTTATTTTCCCTTCTCTGGCGCTCCAACACAGCATCGACCTCGCATTGAATTTCCATGCCATTTTTATCATCAGTCTTAAAAACCTGAGCAAAAATAGTTTTTGAGCTTGTCTAAAATGTTAAAGTGTGTGTGGGTTTAAAACATAACGCTGTTTTATGAGCTGCTCACTTACATATCTTTTGGCCTGGTAGGGACGGACGCTGTTGAAGATCATGTCAAGGGAACGAGGCAGGAGTCCACCCTGACCCGGAGAGCCAGTCATGGTGAATGTTTTTCCACTTCCAGTCACCCCGTATGTGAAAAGTAAACCTGCAAAAAATAAATAAATAAATAAATAAATAAATCAGCAGGAAATACTGAAATAAAATAAGAAAAATCAGCTATAAATTGCTCTGTGCTCTTACCATTTTTTCCATGAATAAGATCATCAACAAGAGGTTTGGCCACATGTTCAAAAAGATCCATCTGTGATCCGGAAACTCCAAAGACTTTTGTGAAAGAGTACTGCATCTGAGAAGATAGATTTATTGACATGGAGCAGGAATAAAGTAGAATGTATCGTGTGTGGTTAAAAAGGGCAACTGTCAGCAAATCTTGCAGTTTTATAAAGAAAGTTTTGTTTTGCAGCTTTTGCAGAGCTCTTGTCCAAGTTTAAGGTTAACAACATACTGTTCAGAAAAAATAAATATAGAACCTTTTCATGCAGTGTGTTCAATACAAAACTATTTCATAAAAAAGAGCCAAATGAGTTGTTTTCTTAAAGCATCAGCAGCTACAGCAATACTAACTTCTTATAAACACCTGAGTGCAACAGTAGATATATAAGATTCTGAATGGCTTTACAAGAGTGGTTCTCAAACTTCTCATGACATGTACTACCCCGGTACCACTATTATGTCTGTAGTAGCCTGGCCCTTGCATTCCTACGCAGTTCCGCTCAATTCCAGTTTCCCTTCACTGCTCCGTCTGGGATTTCTCCCATAGACAAGGATTTTGCTGGCAGATTTTTAGCCTAACCAATCAGAGAACAGAACGTCGATTTTCTGTGCAGTGTCGGCTTGTAATTTATTTTCCCTGGGCCAATCAGCAAACAGAAAGCGGGGTTCTGAACGACGTCGATTTTCTGCGCAGTGTCTGCTAGTTAGTTAGCAATGGCAGTGGAGGGAATGAATGAAGCCAGTCCGTGTTGATAAGGCTTCCAAATTATAATTAAATTTGTCTCTGACAAAGCAGCAGCTCTCATTTACAGTCTCGTTCGGCTCGGTACTTTTCTCCTCTCAGTAGGGTTGTTTACAGCGTTCACGATTTCCAATTAGCTTCTTAGCTTAGCCTCCTTCACAGCGACACACACACTTCAACCGAGGCCACTCCTCCAGCAAGAATAGCTTCTCTATAGCAGCAAGTCCAGACCCTCTGTACGAAGCAAAATGAAGGACAAGGGTCTGGTTTTTACCAGGCTACTACTGTAGTATTGTTTCAAACAAATGAAGCTTTAAAAAAATCTTAAAGCAAGCAAATCTACCAACGAACAGCCTCTCTCTTTACCTAACACATAATCCACTACTGAGAATTTGTCTCAAAGTTCTGACAAACCTAAAGATGTTTTGTTTGCTAAATAAACTTATTTACAGTCTTCATATTTCAACTCCTGGATTAAACAAAGAAGTTGGTATAAGTGGTTGATGTGTGCCAGTCTGTGCCTTGCCTTTGTTCCAGACAGTTTTGGTCTTTAAAGTGATTCAAAGAAAAGCATGACTCATCTGTCATGGACACACTTCATCTGCCCAACAACAAGTGAACAATTTTGAGATCATTTACCAGTAAGTCAAATTTCCATCACTGCTCTGCACCTTTTGCTGTTAGCAAGTTCTGTAAAGACTTCACTTCAGTTTTGTTTCAAGTAGTTTCCATTTAGAGCAAATACTATATTTTGCCTGAACACTGATCTTTTTTGTAGTAGTGAGTAACAGTAATTTCCAAAGCCTGTACAGAATAGCAGTTTATGCAATTAAATAAATCATTTTCATAAACATGATCTGATACATATGTTGGTTAACAACCTGAAAGTGCTGAGTGATGAGGAAGGCTTTGGAGACTGGCAAAGTCACTGAATTTTTAAAGTTATCACTGATTTTTTTTTTCTTCTTCTTGACAACAGTAAAACTATGAGAACTGGCTTGATTTCAGATGCATTGGTTGATTTGTTACCTCTTTGTATTCTCCATTGCGGTGAACCTTGAAGCCCTCAGGAGTGTGCAGCTGGATGGTGGTGCTGCTGATCACTTCAATGCAGCACTCCTCGTCCTCCGCACTCAGAGGACGCACGCGTAAGTACACCTGAGTAACATCAGAGAAAACACACGTGTTTCTGATACATCATCAAAAACTTCCCTTCGACACTCTGATCACTCCTTAAAGAAACTGGTGAAGTGACGCACAGCATGAAATGAAAACAATCGAGCAAGCTAAATGTTGCGTCGTCACTTGCTTTGAAAAAATCAACATGAGACACTTACCCCAACCGGGTCTTTCTGGTTGTTTGGTGATCTTTTTGGAGGAGGCCTGCGGGGGGGTTTATACTTCCTAAATGACCAGACAGAAAAACACTCACTACATTTCGATTTACAATGTTTTATCTTGATTTTTAGGGCAGTTCGAGTTCGTGGCAACTAGCTTACGAAGCAACAAGATTAACGGCTAATTTTGAGACTAGCCGAACTGTAAATTATTAGCTCAACACAATACATCGATAAAGTATTCGGAACACAATTGGTAGAAGTAACAACATCAACTTACGCTTGCCTGTTCATTATGTCAATTAATTTGACTCCGTTTTGTCCTTTCTGCTGCTCTAATTTTGAATCTTCCCTCCGCCTTAAGTCCGACGAGTTTTTTTCAAAACGAGACTGCAGCAGCCAATAGGATTGCAGAAAACCAAACACGTGCTTCCGCCTTCACTTCCGAGCCCTTTTATGGCAACTACGGCAACAACAAAACGTGTTTGCTAAAACGTGTCAGAAATAGCAGATAAGATCATACGTATCTTGTTATTGTAGCAATTTAGCAAACAGAACGACCTATGAAAAAAGTAACCGACTAATGTGAAAACATTTAGATTTTTAAAATGAAAACAAAGTTGTTTAGACACGTGCAGTGACTATTATACGAGTTTAACACTAAATAAACTGCATGCATATTACCACAACGTAGTTTATAAACCATTCAAACAAGTCCACAGACGTACATAAAACAGTAAATACATTTTTTTAAACAGTGCCACCTACCGTCCACCGGCTGTAAACACACCCAGGTTACAAAACATTGGCAGCCATTACGGTCACGTGTACCGCTGTTACGCTGAAGTTGGCCTGACCATCACAGGTAATCAAGTATAGCGGCTGTGTGTACAGACTGGTAAATTACTGTCGAGTCAAACCTTTCCTGCTGTGCCTCGTTGTCGATTTAAACGGAGGAGACATGAAACGCAAACCCGCCAAGTCAGACGAATCAAAAGGTAAAGTGAAGAAGAAAAGAGATGGGGAGGACTCGGGTCCAACTCTTTCTAAAAAACTTCGAGACAAAAAGGAYGGAGAGACATCTAAACCAGGTGTGCAGCTCTGACTAATCCCTGACACTGTACCTGAGATGTTCTGGTTCTGACTCATGATAGGGTTTGTGCGTCCTGCAGGGCCTCCTTTTAAATCTGCAGGAGTCCAGAGGAAGAATGGCCTTGGGAGCATCCTGCATTATATTTACAAGAGCACTTTGGGCCAAAGCGTGCACTCTCAGATGAGACAGGTAAGAGAGCTTCAAGCAGCTCAACCAGGATTGTTTCCTAAAGTGGAATTAGTTTTCCATTTAGTCCTAAGAATGTGAACATCTGCARCATGTAGACAAAACTAAGTCCTGTCATCAGTGTTAGGTTAAACAGCAGAAATTGTGTAAAATMTTTTGCATTAAATTTGGTGCCACARTGAATGTACAAAAAGCATACTTTATATTTATTGTTCTTCAATGAACTTTCTCATATTAGATCAGAGGTCTTCAACTCTGATCCTCCTGACACTCTGTCCTGTACGTTTTTAGATGTCTCCCTGCTTCAACACACCTGACTGAAATTARTGAGTGATTGACAGGCTTCTGCTAAACCTGATGACATTCAGAGTAGGTAATTAAATTATTTGAATCAGGTGTGTCAAAGCAAGGAAACARMTAAAACATGCRGGACAGTGGKTCATGTCTTGTTGCTACAGCTGAGCACCACTAACAAACTACAACAGAGCTGTATGTGGTGTTTCCTACAAAGAAAGTGTTTTAACACGTCATCATGAGACTTTACTGTTTACAAAATCTCTTTTTTAGAACAATCAGTGTTTTCAGAAATGTTAGCTTGTCAAATTAAGCTACAAGTAGTTCTCACGTCATGGCCACACTTCCTCACTCATCCCCACACTTGGGGTCGTGCCCCTCAGTGTCTCTTGGCACCTCCCATTTTATTGGAATTTTTCAAATTTGCCTTGAGTTTGACACATTTGATTTAGATTCTTATTTATTTAATTAGAAAAGGACAGACTGTTTATGTTGTTTTCTAAATACTGAGCCCGCGAGGGGACATGGGGGATTTTTTTTTCTTTTTGCGTTCCCTTGCAAAAATAGTTGATTACTGTTGTGCCTGCCGGTTTATTAACAAACTCACATGTTCACCATTAGCGAGTTAGCCYACTGCTGTAATTCAGCTTTAGAATAAATATATCACACAACCACGCATGAAAGTATGTCATATCCTGATATTTTAACACAGTGCRGCCACGCAACATCAATGTCAATTTCACAAACTTGTGGTGACATATCTTGTTTTGGTAACTGGATATTTCAAAATAAAAGTCTGATTTAATTCAGTTCTTATACAAATCAAACTTTTGCGTGGGAACGCAAAACAATATTGCGAGGTAACACAAAAGTATTGCGAGGGAACGCAAAAATATTGCGAGTTAATGCTATACTTTTGCGTGGGAATGCAAAAAGAAAAAAAAATCTCCCATGTCCCCTCGCGGGCTCTGTATATAAAAAGTACCGTAGTTGATAGATTGATAAAAATAATTTATTGTAAAGGTAGACAAGACTCTTATTGCACAACCTTTTATGGACAGGAATCGGTCAACTGGAACTAGKGTTGGGCATAATCGTATCGTGTGCAATTAATCRTCAGAAAAACATTAATAGATTACTTTTTGGGACTTGACAATTAATATGATTAATGCCACCAGGCAGAGTCCGCTCGCTGCTCCTCTCCACTTCAAATCTGACGAACATTTTAAAAAAAGTTCTGTAATTTATTTATCTTTCAAYGGAATTTAAAATTTGATTTATAGCCTGAAGTCTGTAATTTTAACACAGTTTGGAACAGATTTTTATGAAGAGAAAATCTTTCCCACTAAACTGGTCATGTGACTAGGACATAAGGGTCTTAGGGGACTCCAGGGGATTAATTGTCAAATTAATCGTTATCGGCTAAATACCACAATTAATCATGATTATTTTTTTCCCAATATTGCCCAACCCTAACTGGAACCCAGCAGAGTAAGGAAATGGATTTGCTTTAAGTTCTGAAGTTATTTTAGGAACAATAAGTAATTTATTCTTTAAAATCTGAGCTCTTCTCGATGGGATCCATATCCCTCGTCCAGTTTTAGACTCGGCTCATCTTGTGTTGAGMAATGACAGAGTTGGAGCTGTTTTGTTTACACTTTATGTACGATCTCAAGCGATATCACGCTCAAAATATGTGTTGTGAATGACTCTCTGCTACAAACCACATCAAATTTTAGTTGATGACTTGTAAAACCAAATGAACTGCAGCCATTTTTGTTGTTTGGGAGGTCAGTTGGTTGTGGTGACCGTCTTACACAGGTTTGACTCCACATGTTAATCAGTTGTGGAGGAGAGGGTTACTTTCTGAAAGATTCAGTCGATTCCATGCAGGGGATCATGAGATATTTTGCTGAAAGAAACACACAAAGGCAAAACATCATTCATCTGTTGCCACCTTTTTGCAATGAGTGATTGCAAATGGTGACTGGGGAGAACAGAAACAGACAAGTTTGAGCATGGATAGGGTCGTTGTAGCTCTTAGCTTAGCTCCATGAAGCACATTGAAACATGTATTTCTTATGGAAGTGGGTGAACATGTTGCTAACTGTCTCTTGCAGTGTCTCCAGGAGCCCTTCGTCCGCTCTCTGTCCTCCTATCACTTCCACGGCTCCAGCAGCCCGTTTGACCGCAGGATCACCTGTTTGGAGTGGCACCCCACCCACCCCACCACCCTGGCTGCAGCCACCAAAGGTGGAGACATCTTAATGTTGAACTACACCAACCCCACGAAAGAATCCTTCTTTCAAGGGGTGAGTTTGTGTGTCAGGTTTTTTTGTTTTTTTCTATTAGAGACAGAAAGTTACAGACAGGAAGTTGAACCAGTTAAATCCCTCTCAGCAGTTCACCTCATCTCTCATCTATGGGAGGTACAACAGCTCTGTGAGATTTCAGACACACTGAGCTTAGACCTCTTTGAAACTTTCTTATTGTCATCTTTAGGTGGTAACAGCATCCATGTTATGTTGGCATGTATCTGTATTTATGTGCACAGAACGGAGCAGGAGACTCGATTGGAGGGATGAAGTTCTGTCCCACAGATTTTTCCAAAGTCTATTTGGCTTCTGGGGAAGGCACGCTCACCCTGAAGAGCTTTGAGGGCCACCCATCCACTCTGCTGTCCAGAACCGGAGACTGTGACCACGATTACCACAACGTTTGGTGAGGGAAACTAAAAAACAGCACATGGCTGCTCCATAGTTCTCGCCTTTTTTTCTCTCAGTATAGTCAGAACTCAAGACAGGAAGCTGGTAGCCGCATGAAATTTGAACGTTGCACATATGGAGCGATGTGTAACCATTAGGCTCGGTCAAAACAGCCCTAACCTGTCTGGAAAAAGATCAGTATTTTTGTTTATGATAATATTAGTTATAACTTGAGACAGGAAGGTTTACATGTTCACAATACTCTTACTAATTACGTCATACATCAACAACATTACGTCAGTGTAGGTGTGAATCCTACATATGCTTCGAGCTTCGTTAATTGTTAATCAAACACTTAAATAGAACACAAACGTCAAGCTTTAGATGTTGAATACCAGACATTTGAGGCAATTAACTTAGTTTGGCAAGGTAGGTTTAAGAAAAGGAGGAAAGTGAGGTGTTAGCTTTCCTAACTTTTAACTTAAATAAATGTGGGCTAACAAGAGGCAAGGCATTTTTCTGCTTAGCGTCACCTTGATAGCGATGCTYRTAACAGCCAGCYTTTACCTTTTAAAGATGAGATCAGTCACCTATCCAGGTATTTGGGGAGGTCTCTCAGTTAGTAGAAAATCCATCAGGATCGTCCACTCAGCTGAACACTCCCAGCATGTTAAGCTTCACCACCTGCGTACATCCTCATCAAGCCGTAGGAAGAAAGGCRAAGCCAAAACTGGTTCCTGGTTTCTCTGGAGAGAACCCAGCTGCGAGTGTTGTGGACGGCACGGAGGTTCGTGTTTCTCACTCTGGCTCTGGCTCTGACTCTCTTTTTGGGCGGAAACTGTGTTAGTGATTTAAAGAGGGTTTTCTTAGTTCCGCCTTCAGAGGTTAGGTTGAAAAGGAAGATATCAGGGAAAGTGTTAATTCAGAGACTTGCCATTGCCTCCTGAAACTAAATCAAGATTATTGGTTCTTTGTAGTTCAGAAACAAAACATATCATGATGACCTGTTTAGTTATTATCTGATGAGAACTTTAGGTTACTGTCGTAACCCCGGTTCTCTGAGTAGCATGAGTGAGTGTCTCACATAGGGAACGCCTTCGGCGTGATCTCATCAGAAGCTCATATTACATTACGCCAGCCAGGATTGGCTGGAAATCAGCCTGTCAGTGACAAGGAGGGCCACGACCCTCCCCCTATATATAGGGCTGTTCCTGCACTGACAGGTTATTCAAAAAGATTATCACCTCTTCCTCGCAACATTAGAGCAAGGAGGGTGAGTTGGTGAGACACTCACTCATGCTACTCAGAGAACCGGGGTTACGACAGTAACCTAAAGTTCTCTTTCATAGCATTCGTTTCGTGTCTCACATTGGGAACGAAAATATACTGACTCCCGTATTGCTCAGCAGACTTCACTACATGCCAGCTGATCAGAGCATCACTTCTTCTGTGCACTTGGTGCTACAYTCAGAACTGAATGAGCCAGYGATGGTGCTGTGACATCAAGTTTATAAAACCGAGCAAACGTGTGAGGAGAAGCCCAGCTTGCTGCAACACAAATTTCCTGAAGGGACACCCCTTTAAGCAGAGCCCATGAAGAGCTTAAGCCCCTGGTGGAATGGGCATGCAGGCCCTCAGGAGGCTGCAGCCCATTTGAACTATATGCTAAGGCAATCGCACCAGTGATCCAGTGAGAAAACTGCTGTTTTGTTACCGGTTTCCCGCACTGATTTTTAGCCCAAGAGACAAACAGTTGGTCACTTTTTCTGACCTGTTTCGTCCTGTCAATGTAGATACGTAAAGCACGTACTGGGCAGAGTTTGTGTAGCCTCTCCTGCTCCTCAGAAGAGAACGGAGGAGGATTAAAAGCCACTAACTCAATAGGAGAGTAAGAACCCAACACCTTAKGCTCAAAGGCAGGGTTTGRGAGCAGGGTCACCTTAGAATTGTCTAAAGAGAATTTTGTGTAGGATGGGTGAACTGATAAAGCATGAATCTCACCCACACGCTTAGTAGAGACAAGTGCCAGCAAAAGTGCTGTTTTCAGCGCTACCAACTTTAATTCCAACTGATCCAGAGGCTAAAAGGGCGAAGTAGTGAGAGCCTCCAGTACCAGAGGAAGGTCCCATGACGGGGTCATAGGTTTTGAGACAGGCAGTTTTCTGCGAGCCCCCTTCATAAACCRGCTTACTAAAGGATGTTGGCCAGCTATTTTTCTCTCGAAGCCTATGTGGCAGGCTGAAATAGCCGCCAAATAAACTTTGATAGTGGAAAAAGCTTTTCCCTTATCAATCAGGTTCTGTAAGAAAGACAAAATGACAGCTACAGAACACTGATAAGGAATCTCCTGAGAGTCGGTGCACCATTTCTCAAAAATGGATCATTTGCACTCATACAGAGATCTTGTTGCAGGTGCCCGTGCATTCTGTATGGTCTCAGTTACATTCTGTGGGAGCCCCGTGGATTGAAGGTTGAACCACTCACGGGCCAGGCCCACAGAGCCAGCCTTTCTGGGTGGTGGGTGAAAGATTTGTCCCTGCTCCACATCTGGGTGGAGTTTCCACTCTGCGTACAGAGGGTTCCCCCTGGAGAGAAGATCTGCTCCACAGTTCAGCACTCCAGGAACATGAGTGGCCCTCAGAGAGAGGAAATGTCTGCTGCTCCAGATGATCAGTTTGTGGGCCAGTGTATGAAGCCTCAGTGATCTCAGGCACCCCTGCCTGTTGACATAAGCCACCACAGTGGTGTTGTCTGTTCTCACCAACACATGGTGACCTTCCAGGAGAGGAAGGAAGTGTTTTAATGTTAGCTGAACAGCTAGCAGCTCCAAATAATTTATGTGGAAGGACTGCATTTTTGGGCTCCAAGACCCATTCACAGTTTTCCCTTCGCAAATACCTCCCCATCCTGTCAGGGAGGCATCTGTTGTGATAACCTTCCTGYTTTGTACAATCCCCATTGGCAMACCCTGGGTCAGGGTGCTGATATCTCGCCAGGGGCGTAGGGCTGCAGCACAGGCAGCTGTGACTCTCACTTTGTGAGAAATGTGTGAACTCGGCCTCAGCTGAGAAGCCACCCAGCGCTGTATTCCTCTCATGTGGAGACGACCTAGTGGGACCACCACCAGCGCTGAAGCTATTARCCCCAAGAGTCTGCGACAGAGTCTGAGTGTAACTCGGTTTCCTCTGTGAAACATGGACAGGCAGTCCATCACAGTTTTTACTGTCTTCTGTCAGCCTCACTCTGGCCTGGACTGAGTCCAGGGAGAGACCTATKAAAGAGATGTTCTGAGAAGGACGCAGAATACTCTTTTCCATATTTATTTTGAAGCCCAGCTCCATCATGTGCTGTGTTAATGCAGCTGTGTGATTCACAGCCTCCTGCTGGGAGGGTGCTGCGACCAGCCAGTCGTMTATATACATGGCCACTCGGATGCCCTGCCTCCTGAGCGGACCACCGCCGCCTCTGTGCATTTCACAAACACTCTTGGGCTCAGCGAGAGTCCAAACAGGAGTACGAGGTATTCGTAACATTCTCCCTGAAATGCAAACCTGAGATGTTTCCTGTGTGGCAGATATATGGGTATATGAAAATATGCGTCCTTGAGGTCGATTGATGTAAACCAATTGCCGTGATGCAGGAAGCGCAGCAGGGAGGCGTGAGTCAGCATCTTGAATTTGTATTTTCTCAGATGCTTGTTCAGAGCCTGGAGGTCTAGAATCACCTGCATTCCGCGGCTACCTCTCGACGAGGAAATAACGTGCGCAAAATCCCTCGTGCAGGTCTAAATCCAGCTCTGGCCGAGGATGGGTCTTCATGACCGGGTCAGCCCGCGTCAGAAAGAGAGGATTTTACAACCCGTCCTGGCTGCTGGGCAGATGGATCATAATCCTCCTCGTCATCTGAGACAGGGAGCTCCGAGTCATCGGAGAGCTCGCCTCCTGCCAAGTAATCCAGCGAGCTCGAAGTGAGAGCCTGCTCCATCGTTTCGGATGGAAGCGGGTCTGCAGTTTCGAGCAAGTTGCCCCAACTTGTTCCAGCTTCAGGTTCAGAGACCTGGGAAACCACCAAGTCAGCTGGGTCCTGTTCGGCAGCTGTCGAAGCCAGCAACGGGTCCCCGCTGGACAGTGTCAACTGACGGGCCAGACGGTGACGGAGCACCTTGAGGGAGAACCGGCTGCAGTGCGCACACTCCTCCGCCGACTCAAGGGATGCTTGGGCGTGTTTCAAGCCGAGGCACACCACACAGGTTGGGTGGGTGTCCCAGCTTGATATTTTATTGCCACACGGGCAGGCCCGTGGCTGTGGGCCCTCCACTGGTTTTGCTGAAGCCCCCGCGGCCTCTATGTTCCAGGGAGATGTTTGAAGCTACGTTAGCTGGTGAGAGCTAGGCTAACCAGGTATGGCTAGGCTTCGGGGTGAGTGTTGTGACTTCCCGTTGGGGTAGCTCAAACAGTTAAAGTATTGCTACTTATAAAAGTATTGCTACTTTTTTTTTTATGGTATTGCTACCGATAACCAGACACTCTGTGCGGTGCTGTGCTAACCCAGAGCAAAGCGCCCAGCGACCGCACTTGCGCACGAGTCTATGGACAGTTTAGCTAGGCTCTGAGAAGAGGCAGTACCTGGAGAGAGCTGGTGGCACTTCTGCTCGTTGCGAGAAGAGATTTTTGAATAACCTGTCAGTGCAGGAACAGCCCTATATATAGGGGGAGGGTCGTGGCCCTCCTTGTCACTGACAGGCTGATTTCCAGCCAATCCTGGCTGGTGTAATGTAATATGAGCTTCTGATGAGATCACACCGAAGGCGTTCCCAATGTGAGACACAAAACGAATGCTATGAAAGAGAACTGTTTAAATTCAAACATACAGTAGCTGAAATCACACTGAGGGAGAAAAGAGATCTGTCCTCTTTCCTCCTGTAACTTTGATAAACATTCTCTGATTATCAAAATGCGTAATAACTTTCAGTTACGAGAACAATAAATCAAATAAAAAGAAGATTCTTCTGTCTATTATCTGATTAAGAGAAAGAGAATGTCTCTTTGACAAGTTAAGGTGACCTGAGGTGGCCTAAATTCAGTTCTAAGTGGAACAGAGTTTTTGTCCCTTTAAAGGCCCATCAGAGGTCTGAGGTCCAAGACAGTTTCCTTGATAATTTAACTCGAGGTGACCCCTACATCAGTCATTACTTCATCTTTAACTTCCCCCTCAAGTCAATCCGGCCAATCACTGTTTACCAAAACTCCTCCCACAAACCCAAGAAACTCCCACTTTGTGACTGCAGAGACCCCCTTCTCGCTCTTTAATCGACCTCAGTTTGGCAATATAGTGTCATTTTGATCTGATTGAGCTGTCGGCTAGTCCAAATGCRTTAATAGCTGCCATCTTTTCTAAACTTGGGTTATTTGAAAACTTTTCCCTAAACAGGTAAGATATTAACTGTTCATAAATGTTTCCACAAAACCTCACTTCCAAACGTCTGAATGCTTTTAAATAAAATATTTAAAAAATAATTGAGGGCCGTTTTGTTAGCTGAGCCACACTTCACAGAATGTAAAAGGTTTTGTCAGCAAATTTTACCAAGAACTGTTATTAAAACCTAATTGATCACCTGTATCCTGTAAATTGTGTAAAATGGTTTTGTTGTTGTTTAAATGTTTTGTTTTGCAGCCTTTGGTACTGTTGTCTCGACGTGTCTGTGAGTCGACAGATGCTCGTCACCGGAGACAATATAGGACAACTCCTGCTTCTTGGGTTGGATGGTCAAAAGGTAGATTTTTTTTTGTTTTGTTTTGTTTTTGTTTTTTAAAGAGAGGCGCAAATGTAGTTACATTCAGGTCTGATGGCAAATACTGATACATTTTCTTCAGTTTTGACTCTACATCATTACAGCTTGTTTGAAATGAGGATTTTATTTGTTTTTGGAATAAGACACATTTTTGTCTCAGTGCTTTTGTCTGGTCTTTTTTATAAGCTCAAGTTAAATTGGAGAGATGGTATAAAGTAACCTGGAAGTGTTGCTGAAATAAACTGGACTCTGAGAAATAAGTAAAGCTTTTAAAATCAACAGAKTTACTTAGAAATAAGGAGTACATCAATGAGTTCAATCAAACCACATGTAACAAAATGAAAGATAATTTGTTCCTTACTTTAGAAAAAAACAATATCTTGGTGATATTTTAACAGGTTAGGAACGCTTTTTGTTGCTGTCTGCAGATCAGTGCAGAAATCTGTGCAAAAAGAGGATCAGGATTCTGGTTTATCTCGAGGTTTTAAATCACAAGTCTTATTTCATTTATAAAGCTAAACAAGGTATGTTGAAATGATTAGATTAGATTAGACCTTTATTGTCATCGTACAGAGCACAATGAAATTATAGCTCAGAACAGTCATTCAGAAGAAGACAGAACATAACAAACATAGGAGAACAGGTRCTCTGAGTCATGCAGACACAGACCCTGCACAGAACAAGGATCATCATCAAGAAGTCTTCATGAGGAGGCACAACCCTTAAAAGAAAAACTAAAGACCACATAAGGGAAGATGAGTGGGAAAAAAACATCATATTATATCAACAATGTGACACACTATGGTGTTTATAAAAAAAAAMCCTCTGCGTAGAGCACATTTATTAGCCAGAGGAGTAAGTGAGTTTAGGGGTGTGTGTATCTGATGAAGCCATGAGTGTTGTATGCTTGTGTGAATATCTGAAGAATGAGCCCAAAGAATCGAGTCCCCAAAACCCGTGCAGCCATAGTCCAGAATATGGATGTTAACTGTTCATTCTGTGTGGCCCTCTGCTTGCTCCAGGAACCAGATCACAGACGGGTGTTGGTGGGGGGGCAGACCTCAGTCGACGTAAAAATCCAGGAAGAATTTAGTCCAACAGCTCAAGGCCATGTAGGGGAGAGCCAAATTCTGTAATCAGTTGTTTTGGGAACAGAAGAGCCAAGCAGACAATAACAATTTTCCCTCAGCCTTAATGTCTGCTGGTACATCTCAAGGTGGTGAATCCAATCAGACAAATAGTGTGGACAAATTCCGCCGAGCCGTACTATCAGCTTTCCCCAAGATCAATTCCATCTGGCCAGCAAAGTCCAGGGACCACAGCCGGCCCACGACCCTCAGCAGAACCACTCTCAGACTGAGTCCAGCTTGCACAAGGCAAATGTCCGAGTGCTGATAGTACGGCCATCCTTCATAATGGTCAGGCAGCCAGGAAATGAACAGCCACCGACGCTGTTTGTAGAACACCAGGAGACCACCAAGCCAATCTGTAGAATCCAGTGATCGGAATCCAAATATATATCCAGAACAGAGGTCCCACCTTTGACATGTCCTCCTATGGAAGAAAACTTTGTTCCAAAAAAATGTATTAAGAGACCAGCTAACCAAATCCATAAAAATAATAAAAATATCCATAATTTCTGGTTTCGGATGAAAACTTAGAGAAGGCTCCGAGCAGCAAAGCAGGGAAGATAAAGAAGGGCAGGAGAGAAGGAAAAAGCGTCTTGCGCCTCCGAGAGCGGAACAAAAAAAAAAGTTTGAAGTTATCCAGTATGTTTTAAGTTGAACACACCTACACTTTAATTTAAAAATTATTAGAAAAATTCTGTTTAATTGCTTGGAGGTTTGAATGCATTTTATTTAATAATGGAATTATTTGTATATTTTTAAGGCTTGAAGCAGAGTGTTGTATTTGTTCAGTTAGTGATTTACCTCTGCTTTGTGTGTTTTTTAAAGATTTTTAGTGATAAGCTGCACAGAGCCAAAGTGACCCACGCAGAGTTTAACCCWCGGTACGACTGGTTGCTGGCGACGGCCTCAGTGGACCACACAGTGAAGCTCTGGGACCTGAGGAACCTCAAAGACAAGAAAAGCTTCCTTTACGAATTACCTCACGAGAAAGCTGTCAACTCAGGTCAGATTTTGTTTAAACCAAATTCTTTTTAACTAACATAAAGGTTTGAAACTGCTCTGCTGGACACATTTAATGAAACTGTCAGAAAGAAATAACCGAAGACAGATTTATTTAGTTTTATTTGAGATAATAACCAAGAGTCATTCACAACACTTGTTTTTATATTTGATCAAAGTGACTACAAACTCTGATGTGAAAGGCAACAGGTGATATATCCCTCAAATGTTTAATGGTCTTTAATTATAGATATTTATTAACATTGTATTCTAAAACTGTTTTTAATATAATGCTGTCCTATAATAAAGTAAATGTCGGATTATTGCCTAAAATGAAGGAAAATGTATTAAAATAATTTTAAAAAAATAGGTAAACTTGAACAGGTTTTTAATAGAGTAAAACAGACTATTACTGACTTGATGCATATATTCTGTTTAAACTTTGCTCTGCTGTTAGTGGGACCCTGTCTATATTAAATAATCTCAGGATGATGTTTGCTCACAGAAAACATCAGGGAGAGAATCAGAGAAAGGTGGACAGCAGGTCATGTGACCAAAGCCATCTAGAAACAGCTTAGATATTTAGCTTTGTTCTGCTTTATTTGCAGCAATTTGCTGACTGTCTTTAACCAGTTGAATAAGTTTTTTTGTTTTTTTTTCCTCGCAGCCTATTTCAATCCGTCGGACTGCTCCAAGCTGCTCACCACAGATCAGAACGACCAGATCCGTGTTTACGCTTCCTGTGACTGGACCAAGCCTCAGCAGATCATTCAGCACCCACACAGACAGTTTCAGCACCTCACACCCATCAAAGTTAGTTTTATCCTGTAAAAAATATTAATTTGTTTACATTAGTGGGATGTCATTTGTAAAGGTCTAATTGTCGTGTAGGCCACGTGGCATCCCATATATGACCTGATTGTGGCTGGGCGCTACCCTGATGACCGGATCTGCACTGGCGATGAGAAAACCATCGACATCTTTGACTCCAACAGTGGCGAGCTCGTGTTCCAGTTGTACGATCCMGTCGCCTCAGGGATCAAATCTGTGAGTCATTTATCAAAGGATGAATGTATAAAAATACAACATTTATAATTATCTTTAATTTTTTTGTTTGTTTGGTCTTGCAGGTCAATAAATTCAGTCCAAGGGGTGATGTGATTGGATCTGGCATGGGTAAGCACGTTGTAGACCGTTGACCTTGAATCCAATCAGAGGCGTTTTATTAAACCGTGTCTCCCTCTCTCGCAGGCGTCACGCTGCTGCTCTGGGACCACGACGAGTCGCTGCTCGGCGATGGGCAAAAACCGCAGGAAGAAATGCCGACTTCGTCCGGTTTGTCGCGGGGCCAGAGGAGGAGTCAGCAGCGCTCCAGCAGAGACCGCAAAGGTTCAGCTGCGGATGCAAAGCTCAAGAAGAAACTCGCTTCTCTGGAAGAGACTGAGACCAAAACCAAGACTGGGTGCACTAAACAAAAACCAGCTCAGACCAAGAGGAAGAAGTAAACAGAGTCAGATTAAGAAATTTATTTGTTCATAACATCAGGGATTGTTTGCATGTTTTTAAAAATGTTCTTGACACTTTTGAAACCTGTTGTTTTTCTACTTTATTACAATAAATACATTTATTCATACATGGCTAAGTCATTTTTTTGTACTTTTAGAAATTCTTAGGTGATTAAAAAAGGGACAAAAGTCAAATTAAAAGCTGCTGGTCAGCATCTTTTAACTGCAGGCTGGTTTTCAGGAGTAACTGAAGAGGAAACTTCCACGTAGTTCATAGACGGTGATGTTTGCCAGCTGGAGGAGCACTCCGCCCCACGCCTGCCGCTGTTCCTCGCTCTCCTGAACCCGAGCCTGGTGGGCCGAGTACACCAGGCTCAGGACCAGATTGTCAAACTGATCCGGACTCAGAGCTTTTGTCCGATGAGCCCGCACCATGAGCTCCGTGGAGCTCAAGCTTTTGGGGATTCCGTCGTTGATCTGAGCCAAAAATTGCCGCCCTTTCCTCATCGATGCCATCTCCTCATCCAGGAGGAAGACCCTGTCCTGGTCTATGGCCACCCCACCCAACAACAACTGCAAACGAAGCCGTAAAAATAGTTTTTGCATCAGCTCGAGAGAAACCAGCTCAATTATTTTCATGCACATTTAAATCGGCATAAAACAAAAATGTACCTCAAACATGAGGTTTGCATCAGAGACGGATGAGGCAGTATGAGACATTGGCCTTGTGCCTCCAGCAACATCTAAAGAGGAAGTCACTCAAAATGTTACATTTTAATGTATCCATGCACATAAATATTACTGAATGTCTGTGACGCACTTTCACAGTGCATGAACGATCTTAAAGTAATAAAACGTTTGAATCAAATCTCTGTTGTTAGATTTTTTTGTTTGTTTTTTACTCACCCTGAAGCACCTTATCAAACCAAAGCAACAAAATAATCAGGAGCCTGATCTGTAGATGTGACTTCATTCTTCTCTGTGTGACAATAAATAAAGACTCTACATCTCTTATACCTCTGCTCTTTTTTTCTTTTTCTTTTTTTCTTTCTTYTTTTTCGAATTCCTCACATTTTTTCCAGCTTGGAAAAAAAAGGCACTAAAAGCCAGACTGCTGAAAAATATCCACCGAAGAGTCAGTAGTAGTTTGGGAACACTTAATACCTGCTGAAAAAAACTTCCTGTAGCCTGAAGGTTTCACTAAAGCTACGTGTATATTCTTTTTTTTCCTTTTTATTGTGGAATTTTAAAGCACCAGTAAAAAAAAAATGCAAACAAAAAAACTAAATCTGTATGAGCTAACTAAATAGTGCRGAGTTTCAATCTTTTTAAATTTAGGGGTGGAAGTAGATATGTTTTAGATTAGTTCTAAGTTCAAGGGATTTTCATTCTCAGTGTTGCTTCTTGCTGGTCATCTGATGTGAAATGTGCAGGTAGATTGCTTAGAAAACCAAGTTTTTATTTTATTTTATTTTATAAGTGTGTAAAATGTAGTTGGTATGACTTAAAAAAAATTACTTCCTCTAGTCCTATGCTTTGTTTGTCTCTTTGTTTTAAAATTTAGATGAATAATTTTGCTGCCCTGTCCTTATTTATTTAAATCTTGTTTCTGGCACGAAATAATAACAATAAAAAAAGTTTTTTAAGTATGTCATCTCTCATATCCAGCTTTTAATATGTGCAATTATGTACTTTAAGTTAAATACATAACTTTAAGCGTTTGTAAATAAATACATTTATTTTTTTATTTCTTTTGGTATGTTCTACATGTTCTCTTCAGCAGGCCTTCAGAAGTTGCAGTATCASAGTTCGGCCACACGGTGGCAGTAAGCGTTTGATGCTAGCTGTCATCGCCAGGCCAGCTCAACGAGATTTATTTACTTCCGGTGCAAAATTGCTGATTCTGATGTAGCAGTAGTGGGATTAAAGGTAACCGCCACTTAAGCTTGTCGTCTTTAAGCGTCCCTGACCTTAGTGTAACTTTAGCTCTGTAAAACAATGGTTTATTTTGCTGCAGAGAAAACAGCAGGAAGCTAATGCCAGATATAACACGAACACAGCAGCTAGCGTTAGCACAACACATGTTAGCCAATCATCATTTCATTAGCTTCAGTGGTTTTTCATTTACAGATTTTCTGCCGTCATGTGATATTAAATTAATAACACAGAATGTATAAACCCTGTTTAAAATGCGTCATTCTTCAAAATGCTTTTTTTCTTAAGATTTTAGTGTAAAGTTGTTTTAATAGCGATATATTAGACCTGCTGTTACACTTCTTGTAGAAGATTCAATTAACAACTAACCCTACAAAACAATTAGTTATCTACTGTATTTAGTTTGTGTGACATATTCATTGTATCAGCACGTTTTGAATTACTTACGTAATTAAACAAAAGTTTAATGAAACGTGTTTAGAGCTCGCCTACTGCCATCAAAATGCAGCTAGAATTTAATCGTGCGAGTTTTACTACTTAACCCAAGGGAAAGTGGTGTTTATTTTACAATTGTTAGATCAGCTTTTCTTATAAAGAAATTAGAATCTGAGTTTTAATGTTATTTTTTTGGGTCTCAGCAGAGTAAGCAGCAGATATGGAGACCAACGAGGAAGGTGGCCTCAATGCCGGAGGCTCTGTGGGAGAGGAGAACTACTTCCTGGGATACACCTTTACTGACCGATCTCACTCCAGTCGGGTGGTGAAGAGCATCATGGACTTGTGCCTTGAAGGCGGACTCTTTGCTGATGTCACCATCATTGTAGACGACAAAGAGTTTCATCTGCATCGACTGGTGCTGTCTGCACAGAGCAGTTTCTTTCGCTCGATGTTTACATCCAACCTTAAGGAGTCCCACAACCGCACTATCGAGCTGAAGGACGTTAGCGCCACGGTCTTTCAGCTGCTGATCGAYTACATCTATCACGGCACGATCAAACTAAGGGTGGAGGAGCTGCAGGACACTTATGAAATGGCAGACATGTACCAGCTGACGGCTCTCTTTGAGGAATGCTCCCGCTTCCTCTCACGAACAGTGGAGGTCAAGAACTGCTTACAGGTGATTTCTCCCCCTCCATTAATGTAACAGTCTGTGTGATTTCACGGTGTTTATGTAGACTGAGTTTTTCGTTTTTGTCTAGGTGATGTGGCTCGCAGACAGACACAGTGACCAGGAGCTGTACACAGCAGCCAAACAGTGCGCAAAAATCCATCTTGCTCAACTACAGCAAACTGAAGAATATCTCAATCTGCCTCTGTGTCTCCTTTTGGACATCATCAAGGGTATTACAGCTTTATGTCCTACCCAAATTAGAATTTCTTATTTAAAAAAAATAACCTCAGTTTTTTAAAGTTCAGATGTCCACATTAACCATCAGTTTTAGATGTTTTTATTATCCTGTGTTTGTTTCAAAGTGGAACAATGTAAACACTAAAATGTAGACAATTCTTCCAAAAAAAATCTGCATTTTATTTCAGATTCCTCTTTATATACACTCACCGGCCACTTTATTAGGTACACCTGTCCAACTGCTCGTTAACACTTAATTTCTAATCAGCCAATCAAATGGCGGCAACTCAGTGCATTTAGGCATGTAGACATGGTCAAGACAATCTCCTGCAGTTCAAACCGAGCATCAGTATGGGGAAGAAAGGTGATTTGAGTGCCTTTGAACGTGGCATGGTTGTTGGTGCCAGAAGGGCTGGTCTGAGTATTTCAGAAACTGCTGATCTACTGGGATTTTCACGCACAACCATCTCTAGGGTTTACAGAGAATGGTCCGAAAAAGAAAAAACATCCAGTGAGCGGCAGTCCTGTGGGCGGAAATGCCTTGTTGATGCCAGAGATCAGAGGAGAATGGGCAGACTGGTTCGAGCTGATAGAAAGGCAACAGTGACTCAAATAACCACCCGTTACAACCAAGGTAGGCAGAAGAGCATCTCTGAACGCACAGTACGTCGAACTTTGAGGCAGATGGGCTTCAGCAGCAGAAGACCACACCGGGTGCCACTCCTTTCAGCTAAGAACAGGAAACTGAGGCTACAATTTGCACAAGCTCATCGAAATTGGACAAGAGAAGATTGGAAAAACGTTGCCTGGTCTGATGAGTCTCGATTTCTGCTGCGACATTCGGATGGTAGGGTCAGAATTTGGCGTCAACAACATGAAAGCATGGATCCATCCTGCCTTGTATCAACGGTTCAGGCTGGTGATGGTGGTGTCATGGTGTGGGGAATCTTTTCTTGGCACTCTTTGGGCCCCTTGGTACCAATTGAGCATCGTTGCAACATCACAGCCTACCTGAGTATTGTTGCTGACCATGTCCATCCCTTTATGACCACAATGTACCCAACATCTGATGGCTACTTTCAGCAGGATAATGTGCCATGTCATAAAGCTGGAATCATCTCAGACTGGTTTCTTGAACATGACAATGAGTTCACTGTACTCAAATGGCCTCCACAGTAACCAGATCTCAATCCAATAGAGCATCTTTGGGATGTGGTGGAACGGGAGATTCGCATCATGGATGTGCAGCCGACAAATCTGCGGCAACTGTGTGATGCCATCATGTCAATATGGACCAAAATCTCAGGAATGCTTCCAGCACCTTGTTGAATCTATGCCACGAAGAATTGAGGCAGTTCTGAAGGCAAAAGGGGGTCCAACCCGTTACTAGCGTGGTGTACCTAATAAAGTGGCCGGTGAGTGTAGGTCCCAACTGAATGATTTAAATGTGAAAGAGAAGGATTTAAAAGAATACATCTACTTTAAAACATCAGTTTAATTATTCAGAGGTTGCACGTTTGAGCCCATGTTGAGTCAAGAGTGGCATCTTTGCTTACTGTGCCGACTCCCCACAGAAAGGAGCAGCTAACAGATGAACATCAACTTTTATGAGTTTAATTGAAGGGCCTTGTGTTTGTGTTCAGATGGTGTTCCAACCTCCCAGAATCCAATGATGGCCATCGAGTCGTGGATTAACCACAACAAGGTTGAGAGAGAGGAGTTTTCTTGCATCCTTCAAGAGAATCTTAAGGTAGTTTCTCCTTATGGGTGTTCAACCAGTAGTATTTTCACAGTGGGCTTTAATAACGTTCAGAAAAAATCATATAATCCTCCAAAAGGGGCTGAATTATCAGATCTAATGTTTTGTCTTTTTTATAACATTAATGATGCACTTAWGAAGAATATTCGTGTCTCAGATGCRTCTGTTTGKTTTATAGGAAATTGGGGAGAATGTCCATATTTACCTGATTGGTAAAGAGGAGACCCGGACTCACTCCCTCGCCGTGTCGCTGCACTGCGATGAGGACGATGCCATCAGTGTGAGYGGACAGAACAGTTTGTGCCATCAGATCACCGCTGCCTGCAAACACGGCGGTGACCTGTACGTGGTAGGCGGGTCCATCCCTCGCCGCATGTGGAAGTGCAACATGCACACTATGGACTGGGAGCGCTGTGCACCACTGCCCCGCGACCGCCTCCACCACACCATGGTCTCCGTCTCCACCCAGGACGCCATCTACTCGCTGGGAGGTAAGACGCTGCAGGACACGCTCTCGAACGCCGTCATCTACTACACGGTGAAGGACAACGTGTGGACAGAGACCAGCCAGCTGGACACGGCGGTGTCCGGGGCCGCTGGCGTTAACCTGGGAGGAACCATCTACCTGCTCGGAGGGGAGGAAAACGACATGGACTTTTTCACGAAGCCGTCTCGTCTCATTCAGTGCTTCGACACGTCCTCCAAAAGGTGCCAGATCAAACCCTACATGCTGCCGTTTGCGGGCTGCATGCACGCTGCCGTCCACATGGATGTGATCTTCATTGTAGGGGAAGGAGACTCCCTGGTGTGCTACAACCCCCTGCTGGAGAGCTTCACGCGCCTGCGTTTCCCTGAGGTCTGGAGCTGCATCCCGTCACTGTGGAAGGTGGCCAGCTGTAACGGCTACATATACGTCTTCAGAGACAAATGCAAAAAAGGCGACGCTAACACACTAAAGTTTAACCCGGCCACGTCTGTGGTTTCCTTCATCAGAGGCATAAAGATCCTCCTCACAAACTGGCAGTTTGTTTTGGCATGACCTAAAGATTTTCACACTGATTTCATGACTTCACTCTCCAGCCATCCTGTGACGGCTGATAAAGACATATTTATTCAGCTGCGTTGCTCATTCCGGCCTGGTGAAGATAATTCAGTTGTCTGTCGYTTCTTTTCCAGTATATCATTGTGGGCCTCTTTCTGAGGAGTAAACCTGTGGTGATGCTGTGACCAGTGATGAACTAAGCTGTTGTTTCCTGCTTGTTTACAGATCTACATGAACCAATTCAGTGGGAAACGCCTTTCACTATATTGTGATTATCACGCCGATTTGACCGAATAAATGTAACAGTTTGAAGTTTGTATTCATAAATGTAATGTCAGAGATGTTTTGTAACTTTTTAATTTTTACAATATTTTTAGGTATGCTGGAAATTATGTTGACTATTATATAAAATGTTAAAATTTCCCCACAAAATGTCACCTTTTTTATTTCAACTCTTGGGTTTTTCACAGTTTAAGAAACATTCCTTCAACAAAGGCTTAAAGGGGGGCTGATATCCAAAACTGACTTTTTTGAGCTTGTCATTCCCTCATCAAAAGCATACCAGAGTGTTGCTTTGATTCATTGAACCTCTTGTGGTAGCCATGTGGAGCTGCCTAAACTTGCTGGTACAAAGCACCACCTCTTTACACAAAGCCCCTCCCTGGAGCTCAGTCTACAGCTGAGCTCCCGCCCCACAGAGCATTGTTGTGAAGACATGCTGAAGTGGAAGTGTCAGAAACAGTAGAAGGTTCTTAAAGAGACAGAGGCCAATTTCAAGGCGTTTAGATAGGCTATGTTGCAAAATCAAATTTGTTTTTGATATGTGCAACATTTTCATAATTAATGGGAACATAGTTACTTGATTGTGGTACAGAACTGAACTATGTGCCTGGAACGTACATAATCCCCCCCCCCCCAACCAAAGAAAGAAAATCCGTAATTTAGTTTCCGTTTTCAAAAAGCACTGGACAGAAAGCTACTACAGAGGAGCCATTGATGTGCAGCTGAAACCCAAGCTCAGGAACATGTCAGACTCCGAACTATTCTGAGCATCAGTTGCTGACACCAAGATGAAGGCTGGGAGGGGGCAGGTGGGTGGGGGGTACGCAGAAGGACTCCCAATAGGAACTTAGAGTTGTAACGAGCCCCGTCAGATTTGCAGTCATTTGATTGTGAAAAAATAAAGCTGTGTTTAGCCTCCAGATGACATTCCACAGCCTCACACACGAGACTCGCCGCCAGACCCGTTTGTGGATGTTTTTGATGCTGCAGAAGTTTGTGACGTAGAAACTTGTGGTCTGGTGTTGGTCAGTCAGGAATGTTTCGTTGGAAGGTAGATTGCTAGGAGCTGTATTGACCTTGGGACGGTTTGCTGAGGGCAGAACATAATTCCTGAAGGGACACATGGTCTAGAGTGACATGGCCATCTGCTGTAGCTGCAGCAGGAGGAGGAAGGTGGAGGGGGCTGGACGCGGGGGTGCTAAGAATTCCTTTGGCCTGGGTGTAGAGGGAGTGGATATTCTGGGACACTACATCTTGTACTCAGCTGGGATACATGTTTCTTTGGTGTTTTTCAAACGGAAATCCAAGAGAGAAATTTTGCATCGAGTCTTTTGATGATGAAACAGGATCGTCACATGGCTGAACGGAGATGATGCTCTTCTGGATCTCCAGGTCTCAAAGCGTTTGTTAAGAATGGTCTTTGCGTGTCGCCGATCTTCTTTCTTGGATTTGGTTTCCCCTCCGTCTCAGCACAGCCGGAGCTGATAGAGCTGGACCTAGTAGGCCCTTTGGCATCGACGTCCCCTGAGGATCATCTTCAAGGGATCTTCTTTAAAGTTGTACTGTGCATGGGAAGGATCTGCTTTCTTCCTACCTCACTCGACGTGCATGGCCTAAACGAATGAATATTTTTATGAGGCGCCTTGAACCAGAGATGGGCCAGGACCAAACCAAGCAGCAGATAGAGAAGGGCCTGAAGTTGTATCAGTCCAATCAGACTGACAAAGCCCTGCATGTGTGGACGAAAGTGTTGGAAAAGACCTCAGATCCTGGAGGGAAGTTTCGAGTGTTGGGGTGCCTGATCACAGCTCACTCAGAAATGGGAAAATACAAAGACATGCTCAAGGTAAGATTCCAAAACAACAGAGTGCTTCATGAGAAGTCAAATGCCATCAAACCTTCAAACATTGGGGTTGTGAAAATAGCCCAAACGTCTTCACATTTTACATTTTTATTTCATATTTTTACTTTGTGTAATATTTGCATGATGCAACTGGTGCATGGTTGCAAATCCGCGCACGAATATGTTACGGAACATCTCGTTTCATATGTCAACACGTCAGCTCAGGGCAGATGCAGTTCTGCTGTAGTAGCATTTTAGCGCTTCTACAATCAGTGAATTCAAAGAGATCAAAGGTAACCATCTTCCATTTGCAGTCTTCTGTTGAAGCATGGGTTAATTTGTGGCTTCCATGCAATGCAGAGTAAATAAGTGCCTTGCAACCTTAGAATCAGCGTTGGGTGTCTTGTTGACATAATCATCCCAACGCCACCTACAACCCCAGTTTTAATGAAGACTTTAAAAAAGAAAGGGGTCTCATGACTAACAATATAACTTTCCTCAAASGATGATACGTGACTTACCTGCAGCATCTATTCTCCTTTTCAACATGTATTCTTCAGTATGCCCTCGATCAGATTGACACAGCCAGAGAAATGGAGGACCCGGACTACCTGACTGAAGGCTACCTGAACTTGGCRCGCAGCAACGAGAAGCTGTGCGACTTCCAGAAAACTGTCTCCTACTGTAAGACTTGCCTAAACATGCAGGGCACCACCGTGAGCCTGCAGCTCAACGGCCAGGTGTGTCTGAGCATGGGCAACGCCTACTTGGGTCTCAGCGTCTTCCAGAAAGCGCTGGAGAGCTACGAGAAGGCCCTACGCTACGCGCACAACAACGACGACAAGATGCTGGAGTGCAGAGTCTGCTGCAGTCTAGGAAACATCTATGTTCAGCTGAAGGTACTGATGCTGATGAAACAATCTGGTTGGTTCACAGATCAGTGCTTTGGCTCATTCAAGATCGATTCTTGTACGTTTACTTAAAAATTAGGGTACACAGGAGATATGAATTACAATCAACAAGTTATTTACAGTTTATGATAATAGTTGAGTATAGTGCAACGGTCACAAGTGGTTGGCTTATAGAGTTGTCTGGCTGTAAACTAAGTAGGCTGGCTGGTAGGAGGTTTATGTTGTACCCTTGACATATGAGATTTGTTAATATAATCCCCTTGCTTCCCAGGGAGGATCAGTTTCAGTGACAATAMGATGAAGCAGCATTTAAATAATGTGTTATTTTAATAAACAAACACAAAAAAGTCACTGTTTCAGACCAGTTGATGAATAAGTGTTACTGTTGYAGCCACTCGTTTAACATGTCTGCTGACTTCCTGCTAATTGTCCAWATCTGCCAACAGGACTATGAGAAAGCCCTGTTCTTCCCCTGCAAGGCCGCCGAGCTCGTCAATGATTACGGCCAAAGTTGGAGCCTGAAGTATCGAGCCATGAGTCAGTACCACATGTCTGTGGCCTACAGGAAACTGGAGCGCCTCCCCGATGCCATGGAGTGCTGCGAGGTATTGTTTTAAAGCCTTCGGTGCTCTCCTCAGAGAGAAACCTACGCAACTTGAAGAATTTCACRGTTTAGGTTTCCTCGCCAAGGTACCGTTTGGATGCCAGTGCTAGAGATTCAGTAAATACAGGGCTGCAGACAGCTGCAAGTGCCATTTGTTGCGCTTGCATGATCCCTAAGACCCAGACAAAAATATGCTCCGAGGCGCTGGTTTTAAGTGTTAATGAAAAGGGTGGCTTAAGTCCTAACCCTGTTCTAATTATGTACTGAGGGTGAAAAATAGCTTGATGTCAATGCCTTGGAGTGCAAAAGTAAAGTAACAAGAGAGCAGGATGCGTTTCAGATTTATTACTTTTGCCAAACACATTTAGCCAAACAGATTACACATCCTGTCATATTCCACGTACCAGAGCACAAGGTGAGGCAGAAAGGTGACCACTCACACACCTGACTGCTCCTTTCTTTGAATCATAGGAAAACTGTAAGCGTCTGTGATAACATACATCTATTATTCAGAGGACACACTGTAGTGGAGCATGATGTGTTGGACGGAAAACACTTCTGAAATATTCTGTGTTTTGTGCCTCAACAGGAATCTATGAAGATTGCTCTGCAGCATGGTGACCGACCTCTGCAAGCTTTGTGTTTACTAAACTTTGCAGATATTCACCGCTACAGGCATGACGTTGATGTAAGTGACACTGTTGTATCCGTATAAGTGCATCTGTTTTCAAGGTATTTATTTATACATTGTCACCTGTGTTTAGAAAAGTGAAAAGATTTGTTTTATTTCCTGATTTTGGGTGGGGTTTTCTTGACAAGTGTGTGTTTTTCTTTTTTCTCTATTCAGAAAGCGTTCCCTCGTTACGAGTCTTCACTGGGGATAATGACAGAGATTGGGAACCGTCTTGGACAAGCACACGTCTACCTGGGAGTTGCGAAGTGTTGGCTTCTGCAGAAAGAATTTGACAAGGTTCTTAGAGGAAAACCAACCTAACGAGTTCTTTTTAAATCCTAAAACAAACATACTTTTTCTAAGAGTGTGGTAAATACTTGGTGTTTGTGAATACTCTGCAGGCACTGGAGTCCTTGCAACGAGCACAGGAACTTGCAGATGGGATGGGAACCAAGGTAACTTCTGTTCTTTAAAAATAGAAAAGGCATAAAAGAATTTGTAGATTTTACAAAAGCATTATTAAGATTTTTTAAAGTTTGGTTTTGTGGAGAGGTTATTACCAATTAATATCTTACCTATCGTAGATAGCTCCTTGAATAGCCTTAATTTGGATGAATAGAGTTTAATTCTGAGTGGATCAAGGACAAAGTAAGTTGGCATCATCTTGCCAGATCTTCAGCTATACAGGAGCCGTTTACAGGTGGATGCTAACTCGGAGCAGAGCTAAAATAAAAGTGGATCACTGCTGTCTTAAAACAAATTCAGACTCAGAATTTAATCATAATTAAAATGTTATTTAACTTTTACACTTTTGTCGTTTATGTATTTCATGTTTATTCTAGCAGGAATATTAGAATATTCCTGCAGTAAGTTCCTTTGGGTGGACTGAAAGTTGTACAGTTGTACTTGAAAGTAACTGTGGTAGAATTAAATAACCATGTAATGCAAAATTTGCAGGTGGTGTAATGATTTACAAATTAGCCACAATATAGTTTTCAATGTAATATTTAAGGTTGGAGGTACTTTTAACATGGTCTAGCTGTTAATTCATCAATCAGTTTCGATTTAAAGTCTTTTTTCTCCATTTTAAAGTTGTTCAAAAAGCTATCTGCATCAGGTAAGATGTTGTTTATAATCTTTCTGCAGAAGCCCCACTTATTACTTTCAAATTAGCCATTAATTCTAAATGGTCCAATAGCGTTGGTAGAAACTGTGTTTATTGAAGAAGCAGTCTTTATGTTACGCTGATCACCGTGTTTTTGCACATTAGTTGTTCACTCTGAAGGTTCACTGTCTGCGTGAAGGCATCTACCGAAACCTGAAGCAGCAGAATGAGCTCAGAGAGGAGGTGGTGAAGTTCCTGCAGTGTGTCGAGGAGCTGGAGCTTTACTGCGGCATGTGTGGAGAGTCCATCGGGGACAGGAACCAGAAGCTGCAGGCATTACCCTGCTCCCACATTTTCCATCTCAAGTAGGTTTTTGTCAACTTTAACAGAGGTATCTGCTGATGGAAATACAGAGTCTTCCAGAAAAAAAAAGTCATTTCATTTCTTTGACTCTTGTTTCCAGGTGTCTGCAGACAAACGGCACAAAGGGCTGTCCGAAATGTTTCAAGTCCTCCATAAAGCCYGGGTTTGTGTGATTTGCAATGCAGGGACAGTGTGTTGGATCTGCAGACGCAGCACAATGCCTCACAGGCTCCTGACCTGCTGTGAGCAAAGCAGGCAGCCTCGAGATGTGCTGGAATTCTGAAAAGAGCAACATTTTACCGCTCTGCTCGACAGGATGCTGAACAGAGCGGCCTGGACTRGGGGCTCGCAAACTCTGATCGCAACATCCCACAGGAGGATGATGCTCAACTAAGAGTATAAAGTCAGATAAGCTGACGAATCGTCATTGTTTCTGAGGACTGGAAATCTGTTGCAACATTTACAGGAGAACTGGACTGTCAACATTTCTGGCTTAGTGTACTCATTATATCAGAATTGTTTAGTAAAGTTGTATTTAATTTGTCTTTGGTAAAATAATTTGTGATCTTAGTCTTGTACCTTGCTATTTTCAAAGTCAAATCTCTTTTTTTTCTTTTTTAAGAAATCATCTGATTCTTTTTTCACAACCGTTGAGCCATTTCTGAGATGTAATAATTTCATACAAATGTAACCATGTACATATGTTTCTCATATTCGTTTCTTTAGGTTGATTTGTTTGAAATCTTTTATAAAACTCAACTCTTAACCATTAAAACTAGTATGTCTTCACAAAACAGGTTCATGCAGCTTTTTCTTTTTTTTTTTCTTTATTGCTAGGGATGAGGGAGCAGGAACAAGACACATTGGACTTTTGACCAATCACACAGATAACATGACTTTTTAAAGGAGAAGCACAGATTCTGTATGTTTTCTTGTAAATTATTTGTTTTCTATCACAGGTTGCATTTTGTCTGCATCGAGGGTCATGACACAAATCTGGGCTTTTATCTCAGTGAGTGGCTGCATGTTTTATTTAGGATGCCAAGCAACAATGTAAAAAATATATACATCAATTTGTTTTTCTTTCACCTTTATTATAGCTTTTCTTAGTAGAGTTTTACAGTTATTCCATTTTAATGATTCGCATTGAACTAAATTCTCCTTTTGACCAGAAAGCCAGATCAWCTAAAATAATCCTTGTTCAGACATTGTGGTTTATTATCTCATGAACATGTTAGTTTTGGTGGCTGTGCTTGGAGTTGGCATACGATGATGCGTTCAGTTGCACAGTAAAAGTCAGTTATTTGGAGCTGCATCAAGAAAATGTAACTAATGCTGTTGAACTTTTTTTTAATCCTCAAAAAGTGATATGTTTCCTTTTAAATAGACTTTATGTTTCTCTCCTCGTAGTAAATCAAAGTACAGGTTTTGTTGCACAACCACTTGTGCTGTTCATTTTTGGGAAACTTGGCCTCATATTTGGACCCCAGCCAGTTCATGTTTAAGGTTTATGCAACGACGTGATGACGAGCCATCGTGTGTTACATGAACAGATGCGTCACGTTATCCAAGTTCATTCAGGAAATAAAGAAGCATGATTTACTGACAGTATATTTAATATATTTTGAAACTACCTCTGTTTTTTCCTCCAAACTTTGAGGATAAATGCTTTATTACCATAATGTTTAAACCCAGATTTATGTTTTTCTAGGCATATTTAAATTTGTTGTTGAAACGTGTACACAGTCAAACCATTATTGTGTCTTTCATTTTGAAGAATAAAGGACACTTAAATTAAATGTATTGTTTCTTTTAGATGGATTACTTTATGTTTAAAAATGTTTCTAATAATAGCACGGATGAGCATCTTTAACCCGCTCCTCTAGTTTGTCTGCATTTCTCAGTGTTGTGGTAAGGCCCTAACAAGCAGAGAGGGAGTTCTTTCATTCTCCAGCAGCACTTCAACATGCTGGGAGCAAACTCTTTCTCTGATTTGGACCTGCTGTGTCCTCAGTGCTCTGACATCTACTGCCTTCCTGTCATTTTAATATGCGGCCACAACGTCTGCAGAGTGTGCTTGTACAAGTTCTGGGAGGTGAAGAGATGCAAAAACTGCCCTGTGTGTGGCAAAGAGTCCTCCTCTGGGTTGCCTCCCATCAACTTGGACCTGCAGAGCGCTGTGGAGGATTTTAAAGAAAGAAACACCGTCGAGGACTCAGCAGAGTGTGTTCTTCACCACGAGAAGCTGAAGGTGTTTTGTAACAATGACGAAGAGCCCATCTGTCTGGTCTGCCAGATATCAAAGCAGCACACAGCACACAAGTGCTGCCCTGTAGAGGAAGCAGCACTGGCCAAAAAGGTATGAGGAACTGACAAAAGACAAAAAGTATTTTCTGGTTGAGTGAAGAGATTTAAAATGCTTTAAATAAATAAATGTACCCAAAAATGTCAGAATTGAACAGAAATTAAATCTGACTTCATTATAAATAAAGAATAACAGAATAATTTGAAAGGCAATCTTCCAAAACAGTTGCTCATTAACTTGTTTTACTTTCAGACTGAAATGTCAGAACTACTGGAGTGCTTGAAAAAAAAGGTCAAACTAATGAACAAAACAAAGCAGCAATGGGAGGAAACAAAAACATACTTGAAGGTAAGAAAAAAGTTTTACCAGTTTTTTTAATCTACCAACGAGACACAAACATCAACTTATCCTCACTGATAAATAACCAACTTCCCCAACTTTACAGACCCAAAGCTCCCAAATTGAGGCAGCGATCAAAGAGGAGTTCAAGAAGCTTCACCGGTTCCTCGCTGAAGAAGAAAGCAAGAGACTGAGGGTCCTCAATCAGGAAGAAGAAACAAAGACCGAGCTCATGAGCAAGAAGATCCAAACCATAGAAGAGCACATAAAATATCTCTTCTCCACCATCTCCCACATCGACAAAGTCCTCCTTGAAAAGGATTTGTCATTCCTCAAGGTAAAAACAGAATTGCAGTTCCACAAAAAATCATTTTAATCCTAAAATATCTCCTCTCTGAGAAACAAGTATTTTAATGTCTGCTAAATAATGACAGACTGATTTACTGGAAAAACACACAGCAGTCTGGGAAATTACAGCAGTTTGTTAAAATGCACACAAACTAGCAAGACGAGTAAATCAGCTACAGCCACACAGAGTGACTTGAACAGTTCAGCTCATTACAAAAGTGTTTAAGAGTCAAACATTTGCTGATTACAAGACTGACTGATTTAATATTATTTGTTCAAGAGTGACTAAGACTTATTTTTTGAAATGAGATCTTTTAAGCAGATTTGACAGTGAAGCACAGAGGTGGAAGTATAATGATATGGGGCTGCATTCTTCTTTTTTGCACTTGGGATAAAATTGTGCTCCAGGCAAAAAAAAAAGGGCCTTTTTCTCACAACATTCCTTCAAGTGATGCAGTTACTGTAAMTAGTTATTTCAACTTTCATCATTTGACTGCTGAGGGATGTTTCTGAGTAAAAAACAGAAAACGAGTCTTCTTCCACACCTACACTTGAAAATCCCATTATTGTGAATAAAACATCTATTTAAGGGCATCGTGTTTTTACCCGGAGGCAAAAACAGAGGTGACTCAGTTGGTAGAGCAAGGTGTTGGTCTGAGCAAGAAAAGTTGACGCTGAAAAGAACAAGTGAATAAAAGATAATGGATCTGAATACACTGATGTGGAAAGTTGCTCTCAGCAATAGTGAGGTTCAAAAAAAAGTGCTAAATACGTTGATGCATTTTAGTTTCTATTGTTTCAATCTTTAAAATCATTTTTTTAATTTGTACACAAGTTTGCATCTATCTCAATAACTCTTCCTTCAGAGCTCATGTGATGTTTTTCTAGTGCAAAATTCCACTGACGACACGTGTTTCTTCTTTCAAACTCAGGCCTACAAGGAGACAAAGAAAAAGTACGTGCAAACCAATATCTGCTATATTTAGCGCTTGTTGTTTCCAGAGTTGTAAAGTAACTAAGTACAAATACTTCTTTACTGTACTTAAGTAGAATTTTTGGGTGTCTGTACTTTACTTGAGTAATTATTTTCAGCCTACTTTTTACTTCTACTTCTTACATTTTCACAAAATTTTCTGTACTTTCTACTCCTTACATTTTTATAAGAAAGGAAAGAAGTAGAAAGTCGTTACTTTTATTTCATTTTGCTTGTTTTTATTCCAGCTTATTGTAAAAAAGGTTTGGTAAACCTTGATACAGTATATAAATTGAAACAGCTAAACTAGTACATCTTAAATTTAACATAAATTATTTTAATACATAGGGGGTGGGGGGTCACCACCTAATAAATGTCATTACAGAAAATTTAACTGCTCATTTTAATTCAATAATTTTACTTTTTATTTTTTAGCTGAAGTATAAAAAGTATCAGATACTTTAAGACTTTTACTCAAGTAATTTTCCTAAAGGAGACTTCAACTTTTACCAATTTTTTAGTAAGATACTTGTACTTTTACTCAAGTATCACTTTGTGGTACTTTATACACCATTGGTTGTTTCCAGTAGACAGTGTGGTGAAAACTTCAACGTATTTTCAGGGCCACATCCACAATCCCAGACCCGGAGAGTGTCAACGACATTCTGCTCAACTCTTCCAAACATCTGGGATTACTCGACTATGAAGTTTGGAAAAAGATGATGAACGTTGTTATATACAGTGGGTGAACAAACGAATGTTAGAAACAAAGTTTACTGTGAGATATACAACAGCATCAATTCACTGAACTTTGTTTTGCAGCTCCTGTTATTCTGGATCCAAACACGGCTCACGCTAACCTGAAGTTGTCCCAAGGATTGACCAGAGTGCAGTACAGCAACAAGTTGCTTCTACCCGATAACCCCGAGCGCTGCACCAGCGGCATGTGTGTGCTGGGAGCCAGTGGCTTTACGTCCGGAAAGCACCGCTGGACGGTCGACTTGGGCCAGGGTAAAGACTGGTACGTGGGCGTGGCCAGAGAGTCCATCAAAAGAAAGAGCGCCGTTTTCTTCAGCCCCGCCGAGGGTTTCTGGGTGATCGGTTACTGCAGCAAGGACTCGGTCTGGGCCCAGAACTCGCCTCGGACCAGGGTCGCCTTGAAGCACACGCTTGAGAAGATCACTATAGAGCTGGATTGCGACAAGGGAAGGGTAGTATTCAGTAACAAAGCTGACTCCTCTGTGATCTATACGTTCAAGGAGAAATTCTCAGAGAAGGTCTTCCCTGAGAAGATCTTCCCCTACATCTCTGTTGGACTATGTGACGACTGGAAAAACGCCAGCCCCCTCAGCATCTGCCCAGTGGCATTAAAAGTGAACAAAGAATAAAACAATACACTCACCACCTCTGGTACACACAGAAACAAGACTTCAGACATTAGGAGTAGTTTTATTATTAGTTAAATTAGTGTTTATTTAGTGACATTAACTCTCTTTGTTCTTTGGTTTTCTTTGTGTTGCCATATCTTTCAGTTTAGAGTCCAGTTTTCTTTGCAGATGTGCTTTCTTACTGGGGTCCAACGATTTGTCTTTCTTTCCACTCCCAGCGTAAAGAACACCTTCTTTGCTTATTCTCTGCCGAGCATGGGACTTGGCCTTATCTCCACAGCCATGAACCTAAGAAATGTTTATAATGGTAACAGAAATGTATAACTACACCGACTCATTGTCCATGCTGTGAAATTCCTGATAAACACAAAATACGAAACAATAAAATTGTACCAAATGCTGCTTGGTTGCCTCTTACCTCTGGTATATGATGACTGAGACAATACTGCCTGTTGCAGAAAATGCAAAGCTGTCCGAGTGTTAACACGGACGCTTTACACTTGACAAAACTACAAATGCTGTCGGCCTTCATGACAGCACTGATGAGAGTGTCGAAGTCGTCCTCCGGAGCGGCGGCGGCAGCGATGTCACAGGCGCCGGCCTTCGTTTTGTTCTTTCCTGTGAGGGAAATGAGTTAAACTGGTATCAAATGTACAAGTAAATCACTTTATGAGGTTTTAACTTTCATTATAAACCTTTACTCTTCTTCATCGGCTGGCTCGGAGCTGGGGGATCATTTTTCTGTTGCTTTCTTTGTTGAGCCGTTTCTTCTCTTCTCTGCTGCTCTCGCTTCATTCTTTCCAGGTGTAAACTTTTCAGGTCTAATGAAGGCCGATGTGATGGTTCACTCTGCAGACCGGAGACCGTTTCTTCTGTTTGGRTTTCTTCTGGTCGGGTTTCTTCTTGTGTTGGCTCCTCAGTTGGTTTTGTGGTCCCTGGCCTGGAGACAGTGACATACCTGTCGCTGCCCTCACCTCTGCTCTCATGAACAAGACCCAGCTCCTCAGAGATCTGATGGACCAGCAGCCGGTCGTGGGAGTTGAATGATGACGGAAACTGTAAATCGTTCTGGTTCAAGTCCTTTAGAAAGTTCTCCACCTGCTGTCTGATTTCAGCGTACCTGCTGCTGCTCTGCTGTTGTTCTTTCGGTGCTGATGATGAGCAGGACTTCGTGTGATTCTGTGAACCCGCAGTGTGTTCCACCGTGCTGACACCTGCAGGCCTTTTCTGTTTCACTTTACTTGAAGGYTGATCTTTGACCTTCTGTTTTGTAGCAGCAGATGTGCTCTTTGTGTCTTTCTGGTCTCTGCTGTAATTTTGTGGCACGATGTCTGGAAGGTATTCAAATGCCGTCCTGACTTCACCGAATTCAGTCATGTGAGTGATGAGGGATCTGAGGAAGGCATGATTCTGAACAGTTTGTGTGTCGCACACTACAGCAACGTGGCGTCGTGCACGAGTGACGGCAACATTTATCCTCCTGTCCTCTGCCAGAAATCCAACTTCCCCTAAAATTAAATAAAGACATGTTTATAAATAAACTGCACCTGCTCAGAAGACACGGCACAATCAATGAAACCTACATTTCTGGCGTTACCTTTTCTGTTGGAGCGAACTAAAGACAACACAACAGCTTCTTTCTCTCTGCCCTGAAATCCATCCACTGACTTTATCTCCAGCTCTGGATGTCGTGAGGAAAGTTTCTGACGCAGAAGATCCACCTTTATAAAAAAGATGAAAACACTGATATTGAATCCTTGACGGTTTCAGTAACAATTAGTTTAATTATATGTAATAATAATTTTATGTTGGTTGTCATGGTCTAATTATTTATATCTGTTTCTCCTTGACACTGTCCATCACTCTTATCTTTCTGATGGCTCCGGACGACTCCGCAATGGACTGAACTCTAACAGACTCTTTGGGCTGGGAGCTTTGTGATAGGCTGGACAGTACATTTGGCAATCTGTGATTGGTTGTAAACTGTCACATGGTGTTGACATGATGTATATTATTGGCTGTATTCTGCTGACGCGTTCAGTCGCAAGCATGCAGAACTTCCTGATTCAGTTTTGTTTGTTTGTTGCACACAATTAAATCATATTTTGATTATCATATACGCAGACTCTTCTGGTATTATTCCAACGTGTTTCTGCTTTTGCGATGACATTGGTTAAAATATTTTTTCGATTTAAAATTTTAAACAACAACAACAACAAAAACAACAACAACAACAACAACAAACATCAAGGCTGGCATTTCTTTCTGAAACTTTCACTTTTATGAGATTGTACATTCATCTCAAGAAACGAAGATGTTCAAACAATTGGGATGTAACGATTCACTCAAGCCCTGATTCAATTATCAATTTTAAGTTCATGTTTATTTTTTATTAATTTTGACAAAATAAATTGTAGCCATTTTATAGCCAAATAGGTTTTTATTTCCTTTACCATCAGCATTTTTGTCCTTGTATCCCACTGCAACTGCCTTAGTAACAGATTATAACTTCAAAATAGATACAAATGTCATCACAAAGGGGAACAGAGGGGAATAATTGCTAAACAATTTAAAAAAAATAAGAATCTGTGCCTTACTTGTAGATTATATGGTGCGATAACAGCGATATCTTTAGCTTTCACTCCAGCTTCAGTCAAGGTTTTTATGTGCAGCTCAACAATGTCAACCTCACCTGTGAGATTGAACACACTGTTAAATCACACAACAGCAAACAGAATATGATCATTCAGCTTTATCTTAATTAGTTTAAACCTTGGTTTCCTTTGGACTGCTCCTCTGTGACCTCCATTTCAGTCAGACCACACCCTGCTGTATCAATCAGAAGGAGGGGAGTACAGGTTTCTTCCACACAAGTGACTCCAGGTAGATCTCTGTTGGACCAAAAACACATTTAGCATTTCATTCTTAAAGTGAGACTGTGCAGAAACATGACACGTTTCTATGACGTTATGGAAGCTCACTTCAATAAATGTCTCTCCACTGAGCTGTGAGCAGTTAGTCGTCCACTGTACATGTTTTTGGAAGCCCACTCCATGATGGCACTGTTCATGCGGTACTGAACTGTTAGCATACGGACCACCGAGTCTCCGTACATCTGGATCAGTCGTTCCATGAGGCTCAGAGATAAGCCTTTTGATGCAGCCCTGTAATTGTGAACACCAGAAAAACATTTGAACCACAGTAAAAAACAAACATTAGATCAAGGATAAATAATTTAATTAAAAAAAAAAAAGCATGATACGGTTAAGGTGCTCAGATGAAATGCTTGAAGGTGAATGAAACCAGGACAGGTTATGTTACGTTTGTGATTTGATGGTCGGTGGTAGCTGCTTGTGGTCTCCAGCCAGGACGCACTTGCGCGCTCGGAGCAAGGCGATCCAGCAGCTGCTCTCCAGGGCTTGAGCACACTCATCAATCACCACCCAATCAAAATGCTCCGCCGGCAGGAACTTCAGAGGACCGTCATCACAGGCTCCTGCAGACACAAACAGGTGCTCGCTGTTTGCCCGTCGCCTTCACTGCTACAGTTAAAGGACTGACTCTACTGACCGGTGTTGGTTGACAGCACAACGTCAGCACTCTTCAGGATTTGGGTGATGGCTGTTGCCTCCCTGGTTTTTAGCTCTTTTCTCAGCTCCCCTATTTCACGTTTATAGTTTACTCTTTCCCCTTTGACTGACATCTTCCTCATCCCCATCTTTAAAAATAAGAGGAAAAAATGTACCCAAACAATATAACACTTAAGTGAAATAGTGAAAGGAGTGCAAATTAAACTATAAAACTCACAAATGCTTTGTCGATATCTTGACGTATGTCAGCAATGATGTTTGCATTGTCGCTCTGAGCGAGCACAGCATCCAGAGAGTGTTTCTGGATGGACTCCAGGAGTCGAGCAGGGTGACCCAGTCTCAGGACTTTAGCCTTGCAGCAGGCTAACCTTTCCACTAAATTATCCACTGCAACATTTGATGGGGCACAGCAGAGAACCTGCAGTCACAAAAACCCAGGTATCACAATGAGCCTGTCTGAGACATTTGTACTAAAATAAACGAGACGTTTTGTACCTTTTGGCCTTGTTTTACTGCCTGCAGGATGATCTCAACTACAGTGGTTGTTTTACCAGTGCCTGGAGGTCCATGAATCACAGCCAGTTCCCTCTGAGACAGAGCAAAGGTGACAGCCTCCCTTTGTGAATCATCCAAGCCTGAGTTAAAGAATTCAACCTCATCTTATGAAACAAAACAGAAACACAAACATTAATTGGGGTTTCAAGATATTCTATTAGTTTGAGATGTATTTTGTGAAGCTTCGCTCACTCTGCTGTGAGTGAGAAGAAGGCTGTGTGTCTCCAAAGAGAACATTGATCAAATTTCCAGCTGGTCCATTGCTGTATCCATTTAATGTATTTAAAGCACTGTATGCAGAAAACACACAGGGGAAATATGATGGTTAAATCATACATTATACACACATTAGTAATGTTTTACATTACAGATGCTACTCACCGTTTCATTYGTTTGTAGGTGACATCATTGGCTAACTTTAACAGGTTGTAAAGAGCATCTCTGTCAGAACCGATGCCATCCTTCAAGTCATCAAAGGCCACACTTACAGATGTTTGGCTGACCCTTGTTACTATCCCTGTGCATATCTGTGACGTCGCAGAGCATTCAGACGAGTCATACAAGCCAACAATATCACCTGGAACAAAAAAAAAGCCAACCCCACAGTCAAAAACAAACAAACAAACAAACAAAGACCTGGAAACACTGATGTTTAGTCTTTCATCTCACCTGGTCCGAAGCTGTTGCTCGGAAGAGATAAAAAACCAAGATGCTTCCTTGGTTCTAAGACAACAACTGTGCGACCATACAGGCCTGTGGACTGACTTCCTATCTGCAGCTTCAAAAGGCAAACGCCTTTATTTTGAAGGTCCTTCAAGGAAATGTTCTCCTTCCATATCCTGAGGGCAAAGTCATTTTTAAGAAACCATGAAAAAAGGAACAACTTTTTTTTAGTATTATGGAGAAAATATATGGTAACTTGCCAAAAATCTACCCATTTTATATATAAGGATGTGTACTAGGGCTCTATAATAAAACTTATTTTTCCATTTAATGTTTATTGCCAATTTTAAGAACAATAAGTAAATTTAAAAAAACAATTACTACAACAATGGGAAATAGGTGCATGCAAATATGTGCTTAGTTTCAATGAAAAATATTCAAAGTTAGCTTGTTTTCTGTTTATTTAAATTGTTCTTGATTATACTTATTCTCTGTTTTTGTTGTATATAGCTATTTTGATCTCTGTGAAGCACATTGTGATGTTTATGTCTGTGAAAGGTGCTATAGGAATAAAGTCATTGGGCCTCATGCAAGAACCGTTCGTACGCACAGATTTGTTCTTAAGTTGTGCGTACGAGTGATTTAGG